TCTCAAAATAACATTATGTACACGGAAGGTGCATGCGACGGTGAACTTTAATTAAAATTAATAAAGGGCAGACACATCATATAACACGGCGCACGCCATGCGATGCGTTGTTGTGGATAAAAATTCGAAAACACACAAAGCGGCTGCACGCACCGTCGGACAAACCGCACATGCCGGTGTGTTATTACATTTATTACTTGGTGAGAGATGAGCACATTGCGTACATTCACCGCACACCTCAACACGTCAGATAATAAGTCAAAAAGTGAACCAGGACTTGAAAAATGATACACGCAATTTTTGACAGCAGCAATTTTTTCTTCGTTGTAATATGATTATCAAACTTTACAAAATAATCTTATCAGGTTATTGCTAAAAGGCAAAAGCAGGTGGTACAGAATTGGGAAAACGGAAAGTGATAAGAATAAAATTATTTTTAACCTAAATGCTTAAAACACCTGAAAAGCAGTAAAATCTTTTATTTTGTGCAGGAAATGGAATGCAAAACGTATACAGACACTTTTTGTGCATCAAATGTTCTGTACGGCAGTTTTTTAATCTTTTTTGCTTTTTATTTGAAGAAAGATGATAATTTGTCTACTAAGACTGTCATATTTTTTATTAAAATCAGTCTGAGAATGAGTTATTTGGCTAAAGAGAAAAATCAAAAATTAATTTTTTCTGAGAAAATTTGAATTACGCTTTATGCATATTATGAGTTTTTGTTAAAATTAATTTGTGAATTCAGCAAAGAAAAAAAATCCTGATTATAACGAACAAAAATATTAAAGTTTTTAATAAAAAATTTATTAATGATATAATTTGCAAACATAGGAACTTGTGCCAACAAAATTTAACTGTCAGGATTTTTACGCTTTCAAACAATTACGACAAAATTCGGACAAATGCAACTTAAATAAATCTCTTCCTATGTTCCTTAATGATTGAGATATTGGAAAATTTGTTGGACACGTCCATTTTCCACCCTAATAGTAATAACGGACCCCCCTGCGCCATAGCAATGTTTGTTCCTGCGTGTAATGTTACCTCCCTGCTTTTCCAAGACCATTAATGATATTGCCCTGCTGAAACATCCAGTTTTTTTCCCGCAGACGAGCATCATCATTTTGCGCGCGCGTCCGAGGCGCCACCGAAGCGATAAATTACGCCCAGCATTTGAAATATGTGTTATTATTGATCAGAGTGTGAGAGGCGCGCCGCCGGAGAGTTTACAATAATCAGGCCGTGTGGATTCAGCCGCTGTCCTGCCCATCAAATATTCACGAACGAAAACTATGCGTGCGGTTTTTTTTACTCAAAAGGTCGATTGCCGGCGCTCAAAGTATATAACGAGCGTGCGGTTTGGAATTTATCGATCGGATGCCGCACATTATTTCGGCTTTCATTGCACAACAAACACAACATTAAGCTCTTTCGCAACGGCAGTCAATCTAATTTATATAAAATGAGATAGACAGAGAGAGACGTTAATGGGGCAGCAGCGCGGCGCTCAGGTCAATTAATTTGAATTATTCATGAGCAATGATTTTACCAATTACTCTGCTACGGCATAACAAGTTGGATGATCGATTTGATGACATTCATTAAGGTGACAATGACAAAAACAAAAACATTCTGAGTTTAGTACTTTTTAATAATAATTTTTGAATTTTAAACCCCATCAATGGATTATTTAAACTCTGGGAAAAATGAAAGATTTCTGAAAGGAAATGGTGAAATTAAATTTTTTTATAAATTCTCTGTCAAAAAGAAATTTTAATTATACTGTTAAAATTGAAGTTTAAATTAAAAATACTTTATTTTGAAAGACAAACGTCAGCACAACACAATAAATGAAGAAAGGAGAGATGACTTTTATTTTATTTTAATAAAATTTAGTTATCTCAAACATTACTGTAAATTTTATTTTATAAAAACTTCAATTTTAGGTCAAGCTATTTTAAAATATTTTATTAATATTATTTATTAATTTAAGTTAATACAACAATATAGTTGATATTTTTATAGATTTTAATCAGGCGAATGTTAAGCAAGTGAATTATTTTAATAAAATTATTATATCGAGAGCAGGGCTAATTTTTTAAAAATTTGTTTTGCCGTTAGGTTTATCTTAAAATTTCTGTGTACTTTCAATGGAATTTACCTCTAAAAAGTATTTTTTCCCCTCTAATTTTACTCAATTATAATTTTGCTTACAAATAATTATGAAATCTATATAATAATCAACTGAAACCTGCTTCCAGTTTTGATGTGTAATTTATTAATTTAAATTAAAATGAAATTACTATTTAAAAATTAATATTTTAACAGATTTTTAAAATTAAACGAGTCAATTAAATTTTCTTTGCTTATTTTACTCGGTTTTCCTCCCACACAAAAATTTCGATGAAGTCGTGGTTGTTGTGGTCTTTGTCAGTTTTTCTCTCCGCGTGTGTTTTGACACCAAATGATTAATTTGAGGCCTGCCGCACAATGTCACTGTGTTTTACTTATCTTGATAGCTCACAGTTTAATCTGGCCCCGGTGCGGCTTAAAGGCTTGGCCGAGGTTTATTTTAATTCCGGAGCCACGAGACTCGCGCGACAATAAAACGCAGCGTTTCAAAATGCAAATTGCGAATGTATAATTGTGTCGCCGCCGAGAGTGCAAATACAAAAGTCTTATCGCCTGCACGGCGCACTCACCGCTCTGCTGCTGGGCAAACAAATTTTCGCAGAGACCCGCGCAATTTGGCACACGCCCGATAATAAAGTCTGCGTGAATATTTATTTAAAAAAAGAATAAGTGCTGCGCGGAAAAAGTTGCGATTTTCCTCAGGGCAGGTTAGTGGAGCGCCGGACTTTCTCAAGAAAATTGCTGCTGTGACATCAATCGTTGTCGCCTTGTGCAATAATTTCGGGGAGCCGAAAAAAAATACACTCTGGCATGTTGACACGCATGTATTGGCATTTGGGTTACCAATGCAGAAGGTTGCTTTTTCACAAGGACGCGCATCGGAAGTGAGCGCCATCCGATATGCCGCTCACTATATTTATTATGACGGAGGAAAAAATTTATAAAAAATGCATTTCGTGCACATACTGGCGCAAAGGCAATAACCGGCAATAACGATAAAGTGTCGCGCAGTGCCAAGTGCTCAATAAATTCGGGCCAATATTACAGAGACATGAAATATGTGAATTATAACCCTTTAGGAAGGAATAATCGCCAAACAATATTTATATTGTATTTTTACATCAAAGTAGAGGCTGTTTTTTTTACTATTTCTAAAAATAGCTATAAAGGGAAGTTTTTATCAGGAAAAATAAATTAAATCAAATTTTTTAGTGATTCGAAATTAATTAAACTAAATTTAAATTTGTTTCAAGACATTGACACTCAAGAAATGATCATGGAAATGAAGTGATCAGGCTTTTTCCTGGTTGTAAAATTTTTTTATTAAAAAACAAAACGGATCTATCAGTTTTGGTCACGGTCTGCGACCCTTTTTTCATGAGCAAGTAAAATACAAAAAATCACAGCAAAATTGAAAATACACCACATTTTAAAATAAATTGAAAATATCATAATTGTGCACAGTCTTACTCAAATTGTTTTTTAATTAATGAAGTGTGTGAATTTAGAATAAATATGGGAAAAATCAAATAAGTGGACTCTAGCATCAGTACCTTATGCAAGCAGAAATACTTGCAAATCATTAAAAATCATTATTATTTATCAAAATATAGGTATTTTTATATTATTTCCTCTATAAACTATTTCAAAATTTAGAAAATATTTTAAATAAAAAATTTTATAATTAAAAATTGAAGGCAGGATAAATGAATAGAAATGGAGCTGAAATTTCTGATTGATTTGAAATTTAGAATATTATAAAAATTGTAAAATTTTATTTCTCTGCAACAAACAATAAATATTAACCAGACGTGTCTTTGTATATATAATTCCTTTTTTGCACTTTAAATCAATACAATCCTCTCATGTTTTGCTTTAACATGTTCAGAAAATACAGGGAACGGAGCGATATAAATAATTTACTCGCTGATTGCGAGTGCAAAAGCAAAGGCACGCTCTTCGCCTTGGCCGATTCCATATTTTTCCTCGTCTGTCGCTCTCTCCGCGCATTTGTGCAGCGCCCACGCTCATTGCGTGACACCGCTCGATCGCATGTCGCTCTCTCGTGATTATACAGCACAGAGAGGGGCCCGCTCCTCTCATCGCTATTCTCTTTGTTGTTTGCAGCCTCACGCTGCGAAATCGGCATCAGAAAATCGCGTTTTGCTTTTATAATCCGTACTGTAATTTTGCCGACGACCTTCCGGCACAGGAAGCAGCAGAGGCGAAATTACGAACCGCCTCTTTTTATGAGAGAGAGGAAGAATTTCACACGTTTAATGACTTTGAAACTCTTGTCCTGTAGGACGAAAAGATCAAAATGAGTTTAATTATTTCTAATTAAAAATAAATTGACAGTATTAGAAATTTATAATTAAAATAGAATTCGTAGAATTTAAAGAGACAATTTTTTTTTTAATTTTTGCCTAAGCGAAATAATTTCCGATATAGAGATTGACATTGATTGAGATCGATTTTGACGCGTGTACTTTCAATGGCAATGAGAATAGAAGTCAATGGTGTAGCAAAAGCCTTTGAAGAGCGGATCGGTATAAAAATAAAAATGAAGTCGGTGAACTGCAGAGACGCAGAGGACTCAAGGTCTGCTGGACTGCACGCTTTTCAGCTGACACGTTTTTCCATGTACCTATATTTATAATCGCCTGCCACGCCACTCACGCAATTACATTTTCTCAGCACTCGCATTGTGTGCAAAAATCGTTTACCTCTTGAATTATATAAAAGTTGCAAAATTCGGTGCCCTTGACAATCACAAAAATTAAATTTATTTATTTAAAATTAATATTGTAATGATTTGAACTAATAGTTTAATTGGATTTTTTTTTTTCTTAATTTTTTCGCAGATTGACCAACAACCTCAATAACAACCAGCTGAGCGTGTCCGATGGCCAGGGGTTGTCCAGCTTTGAGCAGTCGTCGACGTGCAACCCGAGTGGCCGGCAGCAGGGTCGCAGGTGGCCCTCTCAGCTACTGTACTTTTACTCAGCAATGAGTTCGGCAATGGTAGCACCATCCCTGCAGAACGGCACTTCCTTAGACACAAAGGCAGCAATCGCAGCAGCAGTCAAAGCGGCTTCCCAGGCGGCTCTCCAGGAAAAACGCATTCAAGGTAAAATAAAATAGAGTGTCTACTTAAAACAATTTTCTTATCAAGTCCGCGCCGTGAATTTATCTTTATGTTGAATTTTGAAGCATAACATAAATTTTTAGCCAGTTTTTAATAAGATTTTTTAATGTCACAACGCAAATCCTTAATATTTTATTAATAAAAGTAAAAATAACAAAAAAAAAAAAATACTTTAAAATTATTTGTTGTTAGTCTTTCAAATTTATTTATTTTTAATTAAAATTTATCTTACTAATTTTTATTATTATTAAAATTTAAACGAAAATTTGTAAAATTATTATTATTATTTTTATTTCATAACGATAGAAATTTAAAATATATGTTATTATTTGTTGTTTTTCTGTCAAATTTTCAATTTGTTTTTAATTAAAATTATATTATTCATTTTACTAGTAACATATAATGTAATTTGTAAAATTATTTTGGTCTATTTGTTTTTATTTAAATTACGATATTAATTGTAATAATTACAATTTTCGTTTTTCTTTTAAATCTTAATAATTAATATTTATTCTATTATTTTTTCTTATTTTTATGAATATGAAAATGTATTAAATTATTTGACTCCCTTTGTTTTCACTTCAGTCATCATTTTGATAATTTTATTTTGTTAAATTTTACATACTGGAAGTAGTACAGTAAAAAATTGATTTCATTCATTCCTTATCAGTTGCCGCACTTCTGCATTTAATCTTGTTATTATTATAAAGATGTCACAATTTAATCGCGCACCTAATTCAAACGCAAATCACCGCCGCCGCGCCCCAGTTACCGCGCCCTTCGCAACTCTTTCAAATTAGGTGTAATTTCGCAGGGTAATTTGCGAGTTTCTCTCGGCGCCGCTCGAGCTATTGTCGTGAATTTTTACTATATTTTTTTTTTTGTGTGCGCCGCGCGCACAAATCAAATAGAAGCGGCAACGTCGACGCTCTGTCTCTGCGTGTGTGAAATAATAATTATTTGTTCCCGTTTGACAGCGAAAGCAGCTGGGCGGAGTGTGAGCGAGTGCAGCAGCGGCAGCGGATCGAGCGTCAACAATAATAACAACAACGACACGCTCAACCACAACAACAACCCTTTACCTTCCACCCCGGCAGACCCACCCTCGCAAGAAGAGCTGGCGCTCCTAGCGAAACTCCAGGAGGCCAACAGGTACGCTATGAGTCACGATTGTACAAAACACGTCATCAGCAGCATCCCTTCCACCTGACCGAGAGTACCTGTTATACCTGTCGGAGCCTCCGAAAAACACCTTTCTACTCCACTCGAATATCGATTGGGATTTTCCATTTTTTCTACCAAAATTTTACTCAAACAATTTTACTTTTTTGTTATTTATTATGTAGTTCTTCATTTAAATATTGGTTTTGGATCAAAAAATTAATTAAAATTGATTAAATTTGGCTTTGAAATTTTCGATCAAATCGATATATTCGATCATTTTTTTACCGTTCCTTTTGTGGAGAAATCCTCGCTCACCGTTTGTAAACACCACGCCTCTCTCTGCTCTCTGCCTGTTATCTTGAAACATAAAAATCTCACACCGATGCGCGGAAAAACAAGTGATAATAATGGACGAGCTAGTTAATGGCTTCAATTCGGTGCTCAACAGGCTCATCGAGACTGATGCCAAGTCCCTCAACTCCCTCTCGGGCAACAGCACCCACTCGAGGAAGAGTTCGGACACGTCCCAGATTTCAGTCACCTCTGGTAAACGTAAAATTTTAAACTCTTACATTGTGATTATTATTGCAAAACGCAGGCACGAGCTCGAGCCAAGAACGGAATGGCGAGGAAGGCGAAGAGGACAGCTGGACCGTCTGGGGCCAGGTGGCCAACGACTGGGACAACTGCTGGAAGAAAAAGAACCAGTTCGTCAGGGTAATTGTCTTCTCACTTTCTATTTATTTCTGATTTTAATAAATATCTTGAATTTTTGTCTCAGGATTTGGTGCGAAAAGGTGTTCAGCACCATTTCCGAGGAATTGTGTGGCCCCTGCTGTGTGGGGCGCACGATTCGCCGGTGAAAAAGCAGTATGCAGACTTCATCAAGGCGACGTCCGCCTGCGAGAAGGTGATCCGCAGGGACATCGCACGCACCTACCCGGAGCACGATTTCTTCAAGGAGAAGGACGGCCTCGGACAGGAGAGTCTCTTCAATGTGATGAAAGCCTATTCTCTCTACGACCGAGAGGTTGGCTACTGCCAGGGCTCTGGTTTCATAGTCGGCCTCTTGCTCATGCAGGTGCGGCCCTTTTTGTGCTCAATTTGTGTCTTTTTACTTATGATAAACTTAAAAATAGATGCCTGAGGAGGAGGCGTTTGCCGTCTTAGTCAAACTGATGCAGGAGTACCGCATGCGAGACATGTACAAACCGACCATGGCGGAGCTGGGCCTCTGCATGTACCAGCTCGAGAACCTTGTGCAGGACTTCATTCCGGAGCTCCATGGTCACTTCCAGTCGCAAAGTTTCCACACAAGCATGTACGCCAGCTCGTGGTTCCTCACGCTCTTCACCACCGCACTCTCGCTGTCCGTCGCTTGCCGAATCATGGACGTGTTCCTTTCGGAAGGCATGGACATCATTTTCAAAGTCGCCCTCTCACTCCTCACCATAGCCAAGGACGATTTGCTCAGTTTAGACATGGAAGGGATGCTAAAGGTACGAGTTTTACAAATAAATAATTGTACCTGTAAATTAATTTTTTTATTTCTGTTCATTTGCAGTATTTTCAAAAAGAGCTCCCACCAAAAGCCGAATCCGACGTCGAGGGTCTGATGCAAATGGCCTATGGCATTAAGCTGAATCCGAAGCGAATGAAGAAACTTGAAAAAGATTATCAGATTCAAAAGGCAAAAGAGCAAGAAGAGACTGTCGAGCTTAGGGTAAAAAATTTTTAGTTTTTTTTTATCAGTAAAGCTTATTTTGTTTCAAAAATTTGCAGAGACTGCGCACAGATAATAGGTGTCTAAGGCAAAAAGTGGAGCTTTTGGAAGCTGAATCGGCCGAGTTAGCTGACCGGCTTGTTCGTGGTCAGGTTTCTAGAGCCGAAGAGGAGGAGGAGAGTTTCGTCCTTCAAAGGGAACTCGCAGCTCTGCGCCACGCCCACCTCGAAACGCAGCACAGACTCGAAATGGCCCAAGAGCAAGTGATCCACACTCACATGCTGCTTGAGGAAACGGTAAATCGAATATATGAGGTTGGACTTTGATTTTTTCTGAAACACAAATTGCAGCTCATTGCAAAGCAAGACGCTTGCGAAGAGTCAAAATCGGCTGTGCAGGCCTTGGCTCAGAAGGAGGAGTTGCTCGGATGTCTGCAGCAGGAGCTTGTCAAAGTGCGCTTGAGGGAGGCGGAAAATGAAGCTCTGATTAGGGACTTAAGAGATCATATCTTGGAGTTGGAAGAGGTACACTTTTTATCTGATCCTTTTATTTATTTTAAGGAAATAAACTGAGAAATTGAAAATCTCATAGAAAAAGATCATTTTTTTGACATTGGAATTTATTTTTTAATTGAGTTGTAAAAAAAATCTCATTTAACTGCTTAATGATTAAACTTAAATTAAAATGATTCAAATCCCATAATAATTCCCATAATCGGAAAAAATCAAAAGATATTTTTTTCAAGGTTCTAATTTTCAATTGATTAGGACAAGAAAACTCTTCGAGAGGCAACTCCAGACAATTCGGTGGCTCATCTACAGGAGGAGCTGATTGCAGTCAAATTAAGAGAGGCGGAGGCGAATTTGTCTCTGAAAGACTTGCGCCAGAGGATCAGTGAACTCAGCGCCCAGTGGCAGCGTCATTTGCAGGTATGGACTGCCATGTTTTTTTTTTCTCTTCCGAGATAATAATAATCTTCAACAGGAACACAAGCAGGAGTCTACACCTGCTGCTGACAGCACGCCGAAGAAGCTTTTGTTCTGGGAAAACCGCGGCAGTGACATGCAGAAGGTCGAAGAGGAGCTGATGACAACCAGAATTAGGGAAATGGAGACTCTGGCTGAACTTAAAGAGCTCAGGCTTAAACTGATGGAGCTGGAAACTCAGGTTTGAATTTCTTATAATTTCAAATTTGATTATTTTATTTTTATTTCTTATTTTCATTTAATTTTAGGTGCAAGTCAGCACAAACCAGCTCAGGAGGCAGGATGAGGAAAATAAACGGCTTCGGGAAAGTCTCGAGCAGGACGCGCAGAGGGAACGAGAACACCATGCTCGGATGCGCGAGCAACTGCACCGATATTCAGATCTTGAGTCGCAGATGAAGGAGCAGCAGATGCTGGCCAGAATCAGGGAGGCCGAAAACACCCAGAGTGTTGCCGAACTGACGCAGAAAATCTCACGATTGCAAATGAAGGTAATTTGGTAGCTTTTCTTAAGAAGTTCCGATACTGACAAGTTTTTAAATTTTAGAATGAGGAAATGGTGGCCGAAGGAGAGTTGCGGAGCCACAGTTTGGAAGCCGGTGACCAGGTCAGGGCACTGCAGGACAGTGTTGCTGAACTTAAGGCAGAGGTAAAATACTTTTTTTTTAAAATCACAGACCCTTTACACAAATCGCACAAACTGGTTTTTAACTCTGGGTTGATGGGTGGCACAAATTTTACATATCAGTGTTTCTACTCATCTAAAAAAGATCAAAACATTTCTCTCACATTCACGCACACAGTTTTATGTGTGACTTTTGATTACAAATGTACATACATACTTTTATTTTATCGATTAATGTGGTCTGGTAGCAAATTAACCAAGAAACTCGCTTCCACTAACCAAGCTGCTTTTTCTTTAGTTCCCCACGCCAATTACAAGTCCGGATACAGAGCCCTGGAAATGGCTGGAGTAAGTTCCTATCTGCTTTGCTTGCTCTCTTCTCATGTGCTTTTCTCTGCTCCTTGTGCTTTTGTTTGCACCAAATTCATTTCGATTTTTCTCGCTTAAAACGCTAATACCATTCGTCTTAAAACCTCCTTACGTGTATTAATTTTTAGGACGACAAACTGGTTTAAAATTTACAGTTTATTTTTGTTGCCGCTTCCCTGATCAATGTTTATGAAACAAAGTTTGACTCGCAGGGAGTGTAAATAGTACATCTTAAACAGTGTTTTCAAATTCATACTTATATCACTGTTCGTTTCAGTGTTTTTATCACCGAGCTTCCCTTTTTAGCCATCTAAAAATGTTCTGTTTCCCATAGGTCTTGAGGCTAGAAGGCAAGCGGTGGAGTGAAGGTGAAGAAGACGAAGCAGGCTGCACTGGCTCGAAGTTGAATTTGACCACCTCATCCGAGAGTGATGCCGATGAGCAATTGCGTTTATCAAGTTCTGATCTTTTGTCGTAGTCTCTCCCAATTCAGCAGAGTTTCTCGTCATCTTCTTTGTGCAGCATTTTTAAGATGAATGTAGGTGTAAAATTTAAGAAGTATTACCCCCTGTGATAGATGATTGATCATTATGTAATTCGATTCTGTAGCAGCAAGAATTTATAATTGGAAAAGAAAATATACTATAGGCCATCTTGATCTTTGTGAATGGCTCTTATTAATCGATTGATTGAAATGACGGTCATTTTTATACAAGCCCATTTTGCATCTGCGTAAATGTAGCAAGTTAACATATTATTTTTGTTGCTCACTTCATTAATTGTACGTGTATTTTTAATTGTGTATTAATTATTACTCTCGATAATTGTTTATCCATGTTATGTGTACGCATTTTAAATTTTATTATTTAAAATAACTTTCATCTTGATGCAACTATTTAAATATAAAAGATCTTGTTTAATCTTTGACCATCTTTGACATTCCCATCCACGACGCGCATTCATTTTCTCAGTGGTTGCCAAATTCAGTATAATAAAGGTCGTTAGATTTTATAATACTTTTGGAATATGGAAACGATGCCACTTTTTTGAACTAACGGCTGGATATGGATGGTGCATCTTAAAACTGAAGTTACAAAATGCATTTCTACTTAATCTGTGTATGACGGTTAATTAAGTATCACTCACATCTTTTGACAATGAATGATTGCATTCTTCACACTGAACTGTGTATTCTTCCAATACGCTGAGAGATCGTGGAATACATTCGTTAAAAATGAATTGCTGCATTTTCACTCTTGTGTGCTAATAAGGAAAATGATAATTTAATGAAAATGCTATGTACTTAGTTGTGCATATAAAGAGAAAATTTATAATAGCACTGGGAATTTTATTTCAACGTCCTCTAAAATTATGATCCGAGCTCCGAGGCTAAAACAGTTCATGACCCTATAATGACATAATAAGATAACGCCTGCAAGACCAAAGCTGATTTATTTCAATTTCTGATTTCAATCCATCAGCATTCTGCGCAGTAACTTTTTAGAAAATAATTATTCTGTATTTTCCTGAGGTATGGCTCGTGTATATCAAATCCTGTGCATTCTTGGAATCGCCTCGGTGTGGAAAGTTGGCGCAGATGAGAATTTTGCCGAGAAAATTGCAAAAGCTCTTGATGGGAAAAACGTTCGCGAGGCGGTGGACATCATGGCGGGCGTCGAAACTTATCCTCTACGTTTCGTCACCAGAGATGTCTACCGAAAAGATCGTTTGCAATTACTCATTGAATGTGGTGATAAACTCTCTTCCAATAACAGCCAAAAATCTCTGGCCGTTTTGGAGGAAACTTTCTTAAAAATGGCGACCTCGGAAGACGGAGAGTTAAGATCGAACGAACTGCTCTACCTTTACTACGCAGCGGACCGAGGATTTCGCATTGCCGCAGAAAATAACGACATCGATGATTCTCTGCAACAGTCTTTCCAAATTATGAAAATTCAGCTCGAGCCTCACAAAACGTGGGTGATAACTTTCAATAGGATTTTCTCGCATGTGCCGAAATTCAGCAAAGTCCTCGACAGCATCGCGCGCTCCTCAAAAGCAGTGGTGCTAAATATGTACCTGGACGAACTGACCGTTGAATTGATGGTTCATCAAAAACTCAACCTGATTCCGTACTTGTACTTCATGGAGAACAGGTGCTTTTTGGCAGACTTGATTTTGAAAAAATATCTCAAGGGAAATGAGTCGTCGGAGGACGCGTTCGCCCTGTGTCTTCTGATGAAAGAACACACATACCGTTTGGGCAACATGAAAGATTTCAATTCCAAGGATAAGTGCTTCTCCACCTACGCCACTTTGGCTGGACCAACAATGGCTCGAATGCACGAGTTCTTTGAGGCGGTGGACAGCAACAAGACCGAGGTGCTGGAAAGGTTGCGGAAAAAATATCCGGGAACTATGAAATTATACGAAGACCGCGCTTCACTTCCACTTTTTATTGCGTGATTCGCTTTTGTCCTGGTTTTTCTTTTGGACGCCCAAAATGGTATTATTTGCGGTTTCCTTTAAAAGATAAATAAAAGTGGGATTAGAGAAATAATTGGTTTGATTTCTTTGAACGAAAATGAGCTGACGAGTGTTTAAATTTATATAGATTTTTATTTTTTATTAATAAATATATAAATTTCACTTTTAAATTTTACGCTGCAATTAAAAATGATCAAAGCGAGGATCACTTTTTGAAACCATCCAAACTATTAAGGACGATCACAAAAGAAAAACTGAAGAGCCATAGATTAAAATTGATGCACGCGCCTGCAAAAAAAAACATTTTTATAATTTAAATTAGATATTTTTGAAAAAAATTTACTATACCTCCACACGTCGGCAAACTTATTTGATCGTTGGTCACGTCTGGGCTCCACGTTCCGTTGGCTTGGCAAACACCGGTCATTTTCACCGCTCCGTCCACGTCACATCGATACGTGACCTCGGCGCCGACTTTGTAGCCGTTTAGAATGAGACATCCATTGTTCAAAGTAGAGTTGGCGCGATCGAAAGTGAACCCTTTTAGTTTTTCAGGCACGTTTGGGCAGTTCATAGCATCTGGAATATGTTTCATTTAAAATTAAAAGCAAAAAAAAAAAATAATAGCAGTAATATCAATTAATAATTACCTTGCTCAGGTAAATACGTAAAAAATTCCACTTCACTGCCATAAATTAATTTTGTACATTTCAGGTATGAGCCTGTTGGGTGGTCGGCAAACTAAAAGAAAGTAATTAATTTATAATTTCCAGTACTTAAATTAAAACGTAATTAATAAGAAACAAGTTATATCTAACAATTTACAAATTTTTTACGTGCAGAACAGAAACTTTAATAATATTTAATTTTAATTCTCTTTTTGGTACTAACCCATATTGTGGTGTTGTATTCGTAACTAAAAGTGCCGTCGTTATTTGTGCCTGTCTCATTAAAGCCGCGAATCACCTCCGATTCATAACCATTCGATTCTAAATACATTTTGCAATATAAGCCTATTGGGCGAGGGTAGGTCGCTGGTAAGTTGAGTTGCACGTGGAATTGACAGGTTTCAAGTGAGGTCAAAGCCTCGTAGGTCGCTCCTTCGTTGTCTATTTTAAAATTTGTAAATTATTCAATTAAAATATATTCCTATTTTTTTTTTTAAATTTACTTACAAAATAATATAAAATGGAAAGATTTTGATGACATCTGAAGCTCATTGTTGGTCGCCTCGCAGGTGAATTCGCCTTCTAATTCGTAGGCAAGTCGGTTGATTTTCAAATTCCAGCTCGATTTATTTGCCGGAATTTCAACGCGGTCAACAAGAGGACCAAAAACTAATTATTTTGAAATAAAATAAAAATTATTATCATCACGAATGTACAACTGATCTTTACCCTCTATCGTCTCGTTTTCAAGCCACAAATAAACAAGTTCACTTTTCAAATACCACAAAACTTTGGTCACGTTTTCGCCCTCCTCTGTACTAATTTCACACAGAAGCTAAAAGAAGAAAATTAGTTACATGCAAAAAATTCCACACTCGACTTACATGTGCTGGCGAATTAACCACCCAGTTTGTATTTGTACTTAGGTGGACGTCGTCTACAATTATTGCGTCAACCGCAGAAGTAAGAAAATAAAACGTGACTAAAAAACATTTTTTTTAATATAATATTTTTTTTTTAATATTTTCAAATCCTACCTGATAAATGGAAAATTGTCTTGGTCACGGACATTTTTAATTGATGATGATAATTTCTTGTTACAAGAACTGACAGCTAATCCGATACCCGCATGCTTTTAATAATTCTCTAATCGTTGTGTATAATTAATGATAACTTCTGGAGAAACAAATGCTATCTAATCTTTCAGTAATAGGTGATTAGTGGACGCAGCTTGCAGGGCTTGGTGCCTTTGATTTTGTTGTAATCTTCGGAACCAAACTTGGCGATATTTATGCACAGCAGCGTGTAAATCAGGGCGGCGCAAAAGGCGAGAAAGTAAATGTCGATCAAAGGTTCAAACTCCTCCGTGTCCATCAAGTTGGGCAGAATGACTACGTAGGAGAAGAGCTTTTCCATTTTAATTTAGTAAAAAATATTTTTATGCATTAAAAATTAAAATACCAGACAGCAGAACGTGATTGCCAGTCGCATGATTGTCTGCCGCTTGGAATATTTTTGATCCACACAGGACGGGCGCCGCTCGGAAAATGTGCGCTTTCCGTTGTTTGTCCCCAATAAATGTGCCTCTGATGTGGACGTTGGCGTGTTTGATGACAGGAAAAATGAAGCTTTTGAAAAATCTGCCTGTCAACTCAATTTTTGCGCTTCAGAAATTTATGTTTATAAAAATATTTTAATTCAAAAAGTAAAAATTCAGGTTGTGAATACTCTTTATTAAATTTGATATATGAAATGTTGGAATATCATATTTCCATGGTTTTACAAAATCAGACGTGTTTTTCTTCCATTTTTTCTCTTCTCTTACTTAGTTTACAGCATACTTGAAAAAAAAATTTACTCGAAGATGGCGGTCAACATGTTTCTGTAGCTGCCAGAAGTTTCCTCCTAAATTTTTTTTTGTATTAAAATTTAATCGACTCAATTTAGGATTTAATTACCTGAATGTCCTTAATGACAGAGCGTTGGTACTTCTGCTGGTAGGCCTCCTTGATGTTTCCGAGGTCGATTTCCGACCTGGTCAGAGCCACGCGGATCAGGGTCTTGTCGCTGGTGCCCAGGCCCTCCATGGCCTTGTTCAGCACCTTGGCAAAGTACTTCTGGGGGTCCTGGAGCACTCTCACTGCAAACAGTAATTTTTTTACAAGTTTGAATTTTAATGGCAATTTCTGAAATTTAATAGAGATAAAAAGTTTTGAAAACGGTTTTGAAGGGCATCTCCAGTAATAATTGTGTGCTTTTCGAGGGAAAATTTGCACATTTGACTATAATCATATAATTCATTCGTCATGAGAGCGAATTTTTTACCTCAATTTTGATTTATTTCTCGAAATTTTGCATTCTTTTAAATTCAAGGATCAGAATAATTTATCAAGAAGACCTTTAATTACTGAAAATAAGAATATTCAACAAATTTTCTATTCATAAAAAATAATTTCTAGACTCCAAATTACAGAACATACTATTTTTATAAAGCACGAATTTTTCTTTTAATAAAAATGGAAGGAAATTAATTTGTATTTTACCACAGGCGACGTAGCCGTCTTCAGTGCCGCTCGAGAACTGATCCTCGACGATATCCTTGATGTCCTTGCCGGTCTTGCGGGACAACTCGAGGAACACGCGACGGATGTGGGCAAAGCTGCGCAGGGCGAGCACCTGGTTCAGCCTGGTGGAGTCGTCGTGCCAGTTGATCTTGCCGCCGTTGTAAAGAGCGACGACGTCGTCGCTGACCTTCTGGTTGTTGACGAGGTACGACTCGTCCCTGTTGGCCTGGATCAACAGAACGAGCAGACGCTCCAAAGATCCGGAAGTCTCGCTCTCCAAATCAGCCTGCAGACGCTTTCCGTATCCTGTTTAGTTAAGAAATTTTTAAGTTTTTAGTTGTTTTTAGAAACATTTGAGTAAATTTTTTTCAAAATAGCTGCTAATAGTATTTTCTATACAGAATGAAAAGATTTAATATCCCTGCTGTTTTTTATTTCGCATTAAAATTATTTCTGATAAAGTAGCGATTTTTTTAAAGTGTTTATTAGAATTTTAATTATTGTTCTTATATTTTTAGTGTTTGCGAAAGGTTTACTAAAAAATTTTATCAGAGAATTTTAGAAGTTTTTTCCTATTTCTTACTTTATGTTATTTCAGCAGATTAAAACATTTAAACTATTAAAAGACCACTTTTTCGCTGCTGGCCAAAATAGTTATAAATTGTTGTAGAGAGGGTAAAACGACATTTTAAGCAACACGCTTTTCACTCAAGTCGAGCAGGTTGCATAACCAGTGTTCGTTCAGGGGCTTTTTATTGGCGATTAAGTCTTTTCCATAATAAATTTAAATAATAATTTTTATTTTACATACTTTCGGTGTACGACTGGACGATGTCCTTGATCATGGCGTTGTCGCTGCCGCACAGAATCTCGGTGAGTTCACCCTCGCTGGTTCCAGGGCCCTCCATGGCGTCCTTGAGGAATTTGCTGTACTGGATGGGCAGAGGGGTGACCATGCCCTTGCTGACCTCCTCCATGTGGCCGGTGAGCTCATCCTTCAGTTCTTCCCTCAGTTCCTTTGAATTTTACAAATCAAATTTTAGCACTTTTCAATAAAAACTCGATTCTGTATATATTTTTTTTAATAATTAACATTTAAATTAATTTTAAAACCAATTAAAATTTTCAAAATTACAATATTTTTATTAATGTTATTAATTATTATTAATTTATTTATATAATTATAATATTTTTATAAATTCAATACAAACTATAGAATAAAATCAAAAAATTTGATTATATCTGTAGATCAACGTTGATAAAAAAAAACAGATTTATAAGCTTCTTGCAAACTAGATGTTCATAATTCAACAGTCAGAACCTTTTTCAGGCATTATTAATGTAAAAAATAAACCTTCAAAAAATGTAGTCACTATTAATAAAATTCGATTGAAATAGGAATTTTATTGTGCTACTGGACATTAATTTTGAAACTCCTTAGAGTCTCCGAGGTTCAATTTTGGGAGACGGTGAATAGTTAAAAGGCTTTGAATGTTTTAATCACATACAACAACTGTCAACTGCATTGATATGCAGAAACAAAATATTTTTTATTCAGAGGGTCCTTTAATATTAAATTATATTTCAATTTTTACTGAAGTTTATAATAAGATTTAATATTTAAATATTTCAACTAACTTTATTTATTTATTATAATTATTTTTTGTACCTTGCCGTGGTACTTCTTGTACTTGTCGGCGATGACGAGTCTCTGGGCAAGACTTCTGTGGGGCAGGATGGACGTGATGACGGACTCGTTGGCCAGGGGGCCCTTGAAGGCCTCGTGCAGCAGGTCGGCGTCGGCGCGGGCGTCGAAGCGCGAGGCGGGGAACACAGTGGGCTTGAGCTGAAATTGAGCAACAAACGTGCGGGTCACGCAAGGGTCAATCAAAGGCGACACACTTGTGCGCGACACACAGCAGGCCGATGGCCCCTTGCTTCTTTTATTATGCAATTATCATCGAAAGTGATTTCACCGCGTGACCTTTCCGGGTAGCAACAGCAGCGACTCCTCAATATTCCCACACCTCTTGAGATCGCACGCGGCCTTGCGATTTGCATAGACAAATATCGTCTTTGGTTTACTTGCCGAGAGATTTATTATGCCGAGAGCCAGGGTCGTTCAAGTAGTGCCGCTTCTGCCAAAATCTTCTCTCTCAAACGCGCGTGATTTTTTTTTTTATTTAACTGCTGTTGCCAGGCGGACTTGCCTATTTAAAATATACTTTCGGTTTCTGCTAATTGGCGGCAATTTTATATTCTTCAAAGTATGTTTGACGAGTGCAAAGTAATATTTGCTCAAAGGAGAGGAAAGCCAATTTTGGCCAAGTGCTTTTGAAGGGCAAGTTAATTTATGACGATTTAAATTTTGGCCGGACGTAAAAAAACCAGTTCGAGTAAAACAATTTGAGCAATTACGCACGCGTCTCTCTTCAAATAATGCCGGTTTGCATTTTTACGGCAATATTTTATTGTTCGTCGAATGGAAACTTTTCATTCAAGGTCTGTAAATTGAAGCTATTTGTTTTCAAGGCAACTAATTAAGAGTGAAAAATATCATTGTATTAAATAAAAACAAGTGCGGTGGATTTAGCGTTGAAGATCGATTACGACCGCTTGCGATCAGTGTGTTTAAGAAAGGTGTCATGTTCGTTTATAGCAAACCTTGTACGGCGAGTTCAAGCATGACATCTGAATGACTAGTTTTTCGCTGAGACTAGTTTTCATCGGTTTCAAAGAGAAATCATGTAGATTTGACGCCTCTAAATTGTCACGAGGCCAATTATATTTTAAGCAAAAAACGATTGAGCTATTTAAATAGCATGTGTACTTCAAAATTAAGTTATTTCTTGAAAAATTGAAAAGAATTTTGGATTAAAATTTTTACACGCCATTCTTGAAACAACAAAAACAAATTAATTAATCCTCTACAATTTTTAGGGAAGTTCACGACGGATAAAATGGATAGAAAATTGCAAGTAAAAATACACATTTAAAAAAAAGCTCATGAATCATTTATAACATAAATTATTTTCATTAATTTCCATTTTCAATTTTTTTTATAGTTTAATGTCAAATCACAAATAATCGTAATGAAATTTATTTTGGTTTCCTGTCAAAAATTTAACAGGCTTATCAAATTAAATTTTGTTGATGTATCAAATAATGAATTAGTCCTTTTTTTATTTTTTGAATAGTTGCAATTGTACAAAGAAATCCAAATTTTATAAAGGATCTTTGCATTTATAATGATTTTAAAATAGTTTTTATTATTTTTTATATTTTTATTTCTAATCCATTTTTATAACAATTTCATACAATGAAGTTTATAATAAAAAATATTCAATTATTGCGAAATATTTAAACATAAAAACAAAAACAAATTAATGAAAATATTTATAAGAATTAAAAATAAATAAAAAAATAAAAAAACTAACATATTTTTTAATGCAACTAGTAATAAATTAAATATGATATTACCAGCCACTGTTCGGCGCCAGCCTGTGCAGGTGGTGCGGTGCCTCCAGGTGCCTGATGGGGCTTCGGGACGCCGTATTGGGCGGAAACCGAAAGGGCCAGGCCCAAGACCAAGAGCAAAAGACGAGCCATCTCGAGCTACTGAGAGTCGAGATGAGTTTGCCGGCCGTTCTTATAGGCGCCCCGGCTCGAGAGGGGACGCGAGACGCGCTTTTATTCTGAATTATTGCCATCAACTGTTGGAGCGAGACGCGAACCCACACCACACTTCGGCACTGTAAATATTTATAAACGACGAATGCGTCAAAACAAACGAAAGAGTTTTGTTTGTAATAAAATTAATTTGTATAATTCTTTTATTTTCCCTCATGAGAAATACAACTTTTATAATATAATAAGTTTGTTTGTATAATTTATTAGCAAAACAACGATTTGTTTGTTTGTTCACGGTCTCATGTTTTCGAGGATCCAGGCCACGTAGTAGCCGACGCGAGTGTAGACGCCGGGCTGATCTTTGGTGCCGCATCGAACAGGGCCGAATGACACAACGCCAACCAACACACTTCTCGGTGAAGAATCACCATGAACCACATCGTCAACCTGAAAAATTGGTTAAATGTCCGATTTAAAAATTCATAGCTGAATTAAATTAGGATATTTAATAAATTAATATCATTTCCATTTCAACTCTATAGATTTTGATTTTTACTCTATTTTGTATATTTCAGTGTGATTTCATAATTATCATAAAATTAGCAAAATTTGAATATTTTATATATGTTAAATATTTAAATGCTAAATGAAAAAATTTTCAAAATTTGGTCAATCTAGTATTTTGTGTCGCAAATTATTCTAAATAAATATTGCTTTTTGTAATTTATGCTTTCTTTAGGCCAGGTACATACGCTTTTTTAATCAAAGAAAAATTGCCCATAAAAAGAAATCAAATTAATGACAAAAACAGAAGCTACTTAAATATTAACTTATTTTGCTGAAAACACTGAATAAATTTGCACGTCTGAAAGATTGAAATAAATGAATTACCATAAGTGGTCCTCCACTGTCGCCGTCACACGAGTCTTGGTTGCTCCCGCCAGCGCAAATTTGTGATTCAATGATTTGCGCCTGCTTTGAATGCGTCTCTTTGCACTTCTGGTTGTTCACCGGCGGCACATACGCAAAGAGCAGCTTCTGACTAGAGGAACCTGTAAATGTTATTATAAAAAAAATTACTTTTTTATGTTTTTAAACAGTGACCATTTTCAGTAGTTCCCCATCCAGCCACGGTGAAAGCCTTTACCGTATCCAGATTCTTGAACTGAATGGCTGCTATTGGCAAGCAGATGGGCCTGACGGAATCTGAAATTCCAAACATAAAAAAAAACATGGTAAAAGACTGGAAGATAATTATTTCAATCCCATCAATAAAAGTGGCTATTCAGGCTCAAATTTTAATTTAAAAGGTAATCATTTGGGAAAAATTTATAAAAAAAATAATTTCACATATAAATTATTTTAAAATTCTACAGAAGCAAAATAAAATTGAAAATATTTTTATTATATTTTTGCCATAAAATTTAAGATGTCATTGTTATTTTAAATCAAAAAGCAAAGAAAAATCCTAACAAAAAGTTTAAAAAGCTCAAGCGATGCTCAAAATATGTAAAAAAATGTCCAAACCAAAAGCCTTTTTTTGTGTGTGTGGAGAAATCTGTTTTTTTTTTTGTTCACACAAAATTATTTGAATCTGAAAAGACAATTTGTAAGGATTTACTTTGTACTTTGGAGCCTGTTTAGAGCAATAAAAAACGACTTTTTAACCAGTCTATCAATGAAGATTAGTTACAATGAAACGACAGAGGCCATAAACATTGACCTCGATCGTGGCTAAAATAAAACATCATCGGGCAACGCTCTGGTCCGCAGTTGATATTGATCATTTAGGTCGATGACCCCAGGAGATTTAATTTATTTTTTTATTATCACGAAAAATGGCAACTTTTGTGGCTACTTTTTTGTTTTTTCTTACCGACTGAAAAATCGGCATCCCTGTTCAGCCTGAGGAGGGCAATGTCGTTGTGGATGGTGGTCGGATTGTACTGAGGGTGTGGAATGGCCTGCTCGATGCCAAAGGACTGCGGAGGCGCACTGCAGACGTCCTGGCCAAAGGACTTCACGCAGTCAATCTCAGAATTCGCGTCCAACTCGCCCAATAAGACGGATTTCCTATGAGATTTCACATGAATGGATATTTAATTTTATTTTTATTTAAGTTGGTTTTGCGTGCGTTACAATTTGAGTCCGTTCGGAAGTTTGGTCACGCAGTGGGCTGCGGTCAAAACATATCGTTTGCTTATCACTGAACCACCGCAGCGGTAGCTTTCACCAAATCCTGCAAAAATAATTCACAGTTTTCAATAAAAATTTGAAGTATATGTTAATTTTAAATTATTTCAGCGCAATATATCAACATTTAACTCTTGCGAGATGTGAAGAAATTTAATTTTTTATAGTGAACAGTTTACTGAAGATAAATTCTTAAACATATTTTATAATTATAATAATAATTTTATAACTAAAAGTAAAAATTTACCCAAACACAAATTAATTAATTTTTAATCAATTAAATGTAAATATATAAAATAAATTTGAAAGGAAAAAAATTGCAAAGTTTTAATTAATAATAAAACTGTACATGCAATATTATAAATTAAACTCTTTTTTTATACATAATAAATAATTATACTTGTCTCATATCCAATTCTTGCAATCCAGGGAATTTGGTTCTGGTCAGCCTCCTTGCCATTGACGATTTTGTCAAAGGTCGTGACGCCGCACGAATCCGTTGGCAAGAGATTGAGTTTAGGGTGCCTGGGGCCCACAGCGACCCTTTGCAGCACCCCAGTTATTGCCGCAGGGTTTGGTCTCGAGGTGGACGGGCCCGGACCGTTGACCCCGCCGGGTGGTTTGCCGCCTCCGGGCCGACCTGTCGCTGGCGTCGCTGGCGGCCCTGTTGGTGGTGTTGGTGGCAGGGACACGTGGTCAGCGCAGCAGATCTGCAAGTGAAATTCGCAACAGGTTCGTTATCCTTTGTATGTCATAAAAAATTAACGAGATTGGAAACTCTGCGTCCATCATTTTTGCATATACCGGTATTTTACTTTCCAATTAATCACACTGTCAGAGAAAGTGTTTTAATTGTTCATAATTGCCCCAAATTCAAAATTTATTTATTAATTTATAACGATACACATTTCATTGAATCTTTTCATCAAGATTCACATACGATTTAATGTTTTTACTAGTTCAAAAAATCTAATTATATCTCAAATTTTACTTTTAATCAATTAAAACAACACTCAAATGGAAATGATATAAAATTTTTTCTTCTTCTATTGGCTATTTTTGAATAAAATATTTCCTTAAAACCATTTTTACAAGAGAGCCAAGCTATTATTTCAGATGATTTTAAGTAGATTTGTTGTGAAATCTTGATTTTTTTTTTGTTAATTTCAAAATTTAAATTTGTTTATAAATTATTCCTTTTCTAAGCCAAGCCGATTCAAGTAAATAATTTAATAAAAGTTGCAACGTTAAATACTTGGATAATTTTCAAAATTTTAAAATCTTTCTGTAAAATCCACTTGACGGAATTTAACGAAATAAATAATTAAAATATAAAAAGACGGATATATTTTTATTGTATCTGAAAATAAAATTTTGCGCGCTTCTTGTCGTAAGAAAGCTTCCTAATGACATACGGCGTTTTTTCCCACGGGCAAGGTTAATTTTTGTAGTTAACAATGAAGGAACTCATTAAAGCTTAATGCTTCGATTGCTTCGTGAAATGTTTTGGCGCCCTTTTTTGTTTGAGAGTATTTCTTGTCAACAAAATACAATATTTTACTGAAGGTCACCATTACGCAGCAAGAAATTTTAATTAGCTTTTATGGCTTATCTCAAAAGAGGTATGATTTAGAAGCAATGCTGTTGTCGTAAGACGTCGTTTAGAATGTCAAAAAATAAGAAGCAGTAAAATAAACCAGCAGTAAAATAGAATTGAAAACTTTACAAAACAAACAGGTTTATAGTTAAATTTCTATACTTTAATATATAATTTAAATTTGTCCCAAAACTTGACTCAAAATTTTGTCAACTAAGGGAATTATTATTTTGATTTTGCAATTAGCACTGTTTATTAATATAATGTATTTTTACTGAACTTTAATTTGCTCTCTTATTCAGCTATATTTTTTCTTTGAAAATAATAAGTAAAAACTTTGATTCATAACCTAATTTCTTTTCGATTTTGATATAGTAAGATCATTTGAACTTATGGAGCTTATTATTTGCCACTTTCTATATTCTATTTTAATCATTCTAGAAGATTAAAGCAGTTTTTTGCGTCATAGGCCGCGCACGGTCAATGATTCGCTATATCTGAAGCACAATAACAAGAGCCCGCCTCGCATTATAAACTGGATTTGATCCTCAGAGTGGAGCTCGGAACCAGGGCATTAAACTAATGAGTCTGCACATTAACAACTTTCCTAATCACCAGAGAGCGCCGGAGAAAAGATAAAAGCAATATTTAATAGAAATACCGGTCCTGCCGAGCAACAAGGAAAACGCGGACCGAAAATAGGGGGGCAAGGTGACCTTTGGGGTGGTGCCCTCGAAGCCGCACTGGGACGCCTGGAGGCGCTGGACGGTTTCCTGCGAGAGGGGTCGCTGCTCGCGCAGCACCAGCACCACCGACGTGCAGTTGTAAATGTTGATGCAGCGGCCGGGCGCGCCGCTCAGGGTGTTGGAACACGCGGTCTCTGCAGGTCGAAAGGTCGGCAAAAATTATTTAGTTCTTCGGCGAAAGTAGTTTTTTTACTCACGGGCGTGGCCGAGGCCGACGAGCGCCGACGAAAGCAGCGCCCAAATCACGAGCATCGCGCTCCTTTTTTTCCTCTTCTTCGAGACCGCGGATCGCAAGGAATTGGAGAACGAACGCCGAAGAAGCAAAACAACCAACTGAGTCGTCGGTTGGCAGACTCGCGGCGACGGCGGCCACCAAGGTCGCGCCACCACTTTCTCACCGTGCGCCGTGACGTCACGCCGTAATTAAATGTCGGAGGTCGGCCCTTCTTGAGACGCCACCTTTCGATGGGCTCTTCGTTTGCTTGGTGCCGCCCGAAGCTTATTCAAGCTAATGCGTGTCTGGTGCCGCTTATGCAACCCGGTCAGGGGTCACCGATCACAAACGAGGCGCCAAGTGGTGCTTAATTGATCTATTGCTGCGGTGCTTTTGAAATTCAGGGTACAACGATAATATTATGGTTATTATGCAGTGATGATTTCCATTTTATGCATTGATATTTTGTTCTTATCAACGTATTGTGGTTGATAGACGAAAAAAATTAATTAATTAATTTCCTTTTCAACATTCAAGTCTTACAAAAAGTGCAATTTTTACAGAAAGAAAATATATTCATAAGAGAAGAGATCAAATCGTTTAGTTTATAGTTAATAAAATATAAAATGAAGACTGGTACGTACGTTTAATTTTTAATGCAAATTTGATAATTTCTTCCGATTAATTCATTGCCGAATAGTGCAATTTGGTGCAATTTATGCATGTAATTTATTTAAGCCAAAATTCAGTTAATTTAGATTAAATTTACTTTAAAATGATGAAACCTAACAAAAAAAGAAATTTAGGAAATTTGCGTTTAAAATTAACTCCAGAAATATTATTGAACTCATTTACGATGCAATTCCATAGCACGTACCAGTATATATAGTTGCAAATAATTTTTAACAATCAACACAAAATTATAATGAAATTAAATTTTTTAAGTAATAGTCTGTTCAATTATTAAAATAAAAATAATTATATATATATATATATATATATATATATTTTAATACAATAAAAAAAACAGAAAATTATAACATTAACTAACTTTAAAAGGTTTTTAGCTAAAGAATTCTATAATTTGTTTTAAATTAAAAACCAATATATTTCTGTTTTTCTTTTACATAGTTTTATATTAATATACTATCTATCTGCTTTTATCAGCATATTTACCTGATATTTACCATATTGTAATTATGTCACTTTTCTCAAGTACGTGCCAGTACGTGCGATCTCACTTAACAGGACGGCAAGTCATTTATGTTAATAAGAAAATCCATTATAGGCGTGTATATTCAGCAGTTATAAAAGTGAGAGAAGATGAAACTGGTATTTCACAGAATCAAACGAGGAAATGGCGTTCGCGGCCAGTAATAATTAATTATCGCTGGGAATCAGTGTCAAGTTCACGAACAAGTGCAAGGATCGATTTAGTTGCAAATTGTGTTTATTGATCTATCACAAAGGCAATTGCTGCCCATAACGGGATACATCATTTATATACATTCAAAATTATACAAGTTAATATAATTGAGAGAAAAGATGATAATTTTACATACAAATTTAGCGGCGTGCGAAAAGGGAACGTGCCCTTGGCAGGAATTCCCGCGTGCGTGTGAAGGAAGTCAAGTTAATAAAATTGCGTAATTGTTTGAGCGTTACTCATCATCTATTTTTATTCCTTTTATTCCAATCAATTTACACTAATAGAAACGCAAGTAAGAAAAAATCATTTTATGCTTCACAATTGATAAATTGTCTTTAATGATGTTCTTCTTGAGACGTCATTTGCAATTATTGGCACACACCGGGATCTTTGCGCAAAAAAAAAAATTGTTTATTATTACTGAACGCATCAGAATAACAGGATTGTTATTCCTCTGCGATGACTACGATCGAAAAGAAAATTATGAATTGCAATGGCCGATTTCGCCTTCGGCCGTCCGAGGATTGGGAAATTCAAAACAAACACTTAAAAGTAAACAAAGTATATATAATAAAATTTATTTGTGATATCGCAGTTTGGTAAAAGCCATTCATTAAATTACTCTGTCATTCTCTTTCGCACATAAATATTTACACACAGGATGTATGGCATTTGAGGAAAATTTGTTTACGGCGCAAGATTATCAAGAATCCAGGGTATGTACGAAGTGACTCGCGTATAAATGCCCGGCAGGTCTTGTGTTCCGCAGTTCGAGGGTCCGTAAGACACAACTCCCGTCACAAACCTAATTAAGAAAACAAAAAAGTTGAAAGTTAATAACTTGAGGTGGATTTCATGATAAACGTAAGGAAAAGTGACTCAAAAAGTAAAATAAAATCAATTTTCAAAGTTTTCAACAATTATTGTATGTGAAAAATGTGATGCAACAATTTGGATAAATAAACAACAATAATATTTTTTAGGAGATGAGCAAATTTTTTCTTGCCATGTATCGTTTCTGAGGACAACCAGGGGTCCGCCGCTGTCTCCACCGCAAGAGTCCTTGCCCTGTTCGCCGCCGGCACACATCTGGGTCGAGTCCAGTTGCACATTTGGGTGCGGGTCTCTGTAAAGTTTGGCGCATCTCTGGTTATCAATGACCGAAAGTTCCACCTTCAGTTTGACGTCACTCGAAGGCGCTTTAAATTAATAATGATTAAAATTTCAACAGATTTAGTTTTATTTTTAAAACATACAGTTTTCAGTTCGTCCCCAACCGGCCACTTCATTTTTGGTTCCCGTGAACAATGACCTGGACAGGGTTTCTGATAGGGGAAGGCAGACAGGCTTCACATACGCTGCAAATAAGAGTTAATTAATTTCTATAGTAAACAGTTCATAGATAGCATTAAAAAGGCAGTAAAAATTTCAAAAATTATAAAATCAATTTAAATTCTTACTTGTGGCTGAAACTTTTCTACTCAGTCTAATGAGCGCAATGTCGTTGTGCCGGGCACTCGGGTCGTACTTTTCGTGCACTTTAACGCTTTCAATGCCCACTTTAATTGGATCATCGGCGCACTTTTCGCGCCCGGCCGTGTCTCGGTAGCAATCCCTCTCAGTCATCAGGTTGTGCTCTCCAAGTCGTAGAGCAAGTCTATTAAAAAAGATATGCATTTTTTAAATTTCAAAAGGGAATAACGTGTGCGAGAAAAGGAAGTTTTTGGACAAATAAACATTGAGAAAAAAAATGATTAAGATGAAGTAAAAATTGAAAAATTTTTTTTATTCATTATTACTCACAGTGTATTTCCAGGGGGAACTCGGATACAGTGGGCGGCGGTGAGGACGTAACGATCGTTGATTAGGGCCCCGCCACACAGGACTTCAACTCCACGCCCTTTAATGTAAAATAAACAAATTATGTTAGGACGCTGCGGTTTTCGCGGCGAGAAAGAGATTTTTTTAAAGACCGCAGTTTAGTAAAACAAGCAAACGCCACTGCGTTTAGCATTTCGTATTAAATCCCTTAAAACAAACTTTAAATTTATACTTAAAAATTTTTAATAATAAATTAATAAAATTTTAACTAATTAAGGAACCCATAATTTAAATCAAAGAGAAAAAGATCAAATGGGTATTCAATGACGTAAAAATCAGATTTTTAAGCAAAAATGTTTTTTAAAAATTGTAAAAAAAATAGGTTAATATTTTGGTTCACTTATATTAAAATTATCAAAATAAGGTTAACTGAAAATAATAATTTTATCAATAATAATTGAAATTTTTAAAATTTTTAAGGTAGAATGCTATATAATTTAAAATAAATTCCTTTGTAAAAATATTCATCAAATCTATTAATAAGATGATGATGCAAAATAGATTATTTTCAATTTTCAAATATGTTAAATTCAAAATAACAATGAAAATAATAAGTCACTTCTGCAGCATTCTGCAGATGGGACAGGTTGAAAATTTATGCCTATTTAATATTATTACATAATAAGATCAGAGATTTGAAAATAATAATTTATTTTGCTTAATCATCTCATTAATAGATTTGATGATTATTCACTATGGAATTTATTCTTGAATGAAAGTGAAACTCACTTGTCCGATACTCAATGGCGGCGAGCCAAGGGTGTTCGCCCATGTCCGTTTGCTTTCCACCGACGATTCTTATGTGGATATAAGAGTCGCCGCAATTTACGGGCAGTAATTTAGCATTTTTGTGAGCAAAATGACCAGTTTTTGGCGCAGGAGAGAAGGGAATTCTGTTTGAAAATTGAAAACATTAAGTATAATAAATATAACATTAAGTATATAAATAAAAATAAATAAATTTGAAAGAAATATATATATCGAAAATTAAGTGTAAAATAAATGTTGAAAAATGTGTGTTTCAGGACAATTCCAATATTTTTCAATTGAATTCATTTTCGTTTAAAGAAAATTTTATATTGTTTAAATTTCAACCTCAGATGAAGATTAAACAAACATGAAGCGCATTTTTAAAAATAATTGGCATGTTTAGCATAAATTTTGTCAAATGAAATTTTCCTTCATGGATATGGATGAGTCTTCGATCTATGTTATGTTTAATTAACAATTAATGCTCACATCCTCCCGCCGTTGCCGCCGCTCCCATTGTTAGGTTTCCAGACGGTCAGTCTATTTTCTGGCCCCGGCGTCGGCCTGGTGCCTGAAATGCGTCCCGAGCAACAAACGATCGGATCTTGACCTCTGAAGCTGCACAAAGATTCCCGCAACAGTATGGCTGATTGTTGGCCGCCGGGGTATTTCGATCTGCTCAAGTGAGTCAGCAGATTTGGACATTTTCGAATGGACACGCACAATCCCTCTTCTCCTAAGGGAGTGAAGCACTCGCTAAATTCGTCTTGGAAACGCTCTATAAGAAAAATTTTTTGTGAAAACTTTATTCAATTTACAAGTAAAAATGGTACAATAATTAAACAAGTAATTGCTGGATCAGTAAAATTGATATTATCATATCTGATATTCAAATTTTATGCAATGCAGAATAACAGTTCATTTTATTGAATAAATCAAGACTTTGTATTTGAAAATAATATAAAAAAGTAAAATTATTTTTCAAATAATAATTGCAGTCATTGAAATCACCAGATATTATTACTTACATTTATAAAAAGAAAATTGAAAGCTAATTACACTTGCGGTTGATGTCATAAAAAAAATTGAAATTGGGGACTTGAAAAAAGAACAAAAATTAGAAAAAGTAAAATAAAGTGGTTTGATTTTTACTGAAGTTTTTGATTTTGATTATTATCCAGACTCAAATATTCAAATGGGTTCAGGTTCTTAAAAAATTTTGTTGCTGTTGTTCAATTGAATGTGAATTTTTTCAAAGTAAAAGCGATAAAAAAAAATCGAATCACTTTCTCTTCCCTAAAAGAAAAATAGGTTTTCGTCAAATTCAAACCATGCCCTACTAAAAACACATCCTGCTTCTGAGTAAATCGACTTACGTGCCAAGGTGAGGGCCGCGCAGGCAACAATCACTAAGATCACTCGCGAGGTGTTCATGGCGTCGCCGTGACACTGACTCTGGTCCAAGCAGGCGCTCCCGACCGCTATAAAAGCGCCGAGAACCCCCCGCCCGATTCGAAAGATTCACGGTCACGCAACGATAGCGGTCATTCAGCCAACAGCCCTTGGTTCGGTGCTCGTCGCCGGGAATTTCACTCTCGTCCTCCCACTTGAATGAAATAATTTAATCCCCATTTCAATCTGTGCAATCGGAATTTGGTTCTCTGACGCATTTGCATTAATTGACGCATCAAATTTCGGTTCCCCATATTATAATCCGGCTGTAGAAATCTAGCGGTAAAAAAAGTTTAGTGATGCAACTTATTTTGACGTAGAGAATTATCAATTTCCTCTTTTGCGGCCTTATATTTTTGAAACGTTTTGAGCCAAAAGGAAGTTAGAAAATTTTCCTTGGCAACCTTTTACGTCTACACAGACTTGAATAATTGTACTGCTTTCTTACCGGCTTTATTTTGATGCCGGTGTGAAATTTTCAAGCCATTGCACAACAAATCATAATAACAAGTAATTCGACCTTTTCGGTCTCATCTCGTCGGAAATCCCCTGCGAGAATATACTCGGCGCGGTACCTTCCAGCAAAAAAAAAAAAAAAAAAAAAACAATATAATAAAAGACCGCAAAAAAAGGTCCAGCGGCTCATTCACTCTTTCATCTCTGCGTGAAATAAGGAACAGGAATCCCCTGCTACAAACCTGCCAATCATTTTAATTATTTTAATGCTCGTCGACTAAATTTGTTCAAAATGAGGAGCAAAAACTGGAGAGGACCGGATTTTTGTCATCATCACGCTCTTGCTTAATTGTTGTTTGATAAATTTCTTTGAGGAAAAGTCGTGTTGCAATTATATATAAGGATGAGTAATAAAATTCTAGCGCCAAAAAAGTGGAGATGAGCTCGGCCGAAAATATTTTTTGTTGTTAGAAATCTCGAGTGCATTTATTTGTCAGAGTTGAAAATCCCTGCGGTGAGGATATCCTGAAATTGAATACATCTTTTTTTATCATATTCATGCAGGAAAACAAGCAGTGGTCGCAGACGTCCTGTATCCTTGGCTATCGCATGCTTACAAGTTAAATACACACGTTCACATATACACTTGTAATAAATAACAGAGGCAGTCGTTGTCCGCCTATATACGAGGAATAAAAAGTGACTCATAAACAGTTTGCACCTTGGTTGAAATCAAGATCCTGCACTTCTGTGCTCAGAACGCTGAATTTCCAAAGAAATAGTGATTGTTCTTGTCATTGTTAATTTAATTAATTTTTATGGGGAATTCAAATAAGAAAACCCAGCAGAAGAAATAGAAAATGTCTAATCAAAACCTCAAGCTTTGCAAAATTCTGATTCTATTAGTTTATTCAGTTTTAATTTTGAATCAAAATTCTTGAAAGGAAAATGTATTATTCAAATTAAAAAATAAAAATCATTGTCAGATTTTTTGAGAACATCTTTATTGAAAACTACAAACTTAGTTGCAAAAATTATACTCCAACATTCATGCACATCAAAACAAGTAGAATTATAATTATACCCTCCAGATATAAGAATTTATTTAAAGAGATGAGATTTTTCGTTTGAAAATTTCTTAATAATTAAATGAGGTGGAATGGTTGTGGAGCTAAACTTGACACGTAACAATGGCTTTAAAATAGGTCTGATTTTGAGATTCAGAGATTTCGTTTTATTGCACTCAAAATGCTCACCTACAATCATTCCCAAGAGTGGAAAAGCAGTAAAAAACATCACGTTTTTAACTATTGACGCATGATGTATACTTTGAACTCGGGCAATTTTAATATTTTAAAATACGTTGAAATAAAAAATTTGAAAAACCTCAATTTTGAAATGTTTAAAAAAATTAAAAGATCTTAGATAGTAAAAAACTTAACCTTTAAATAATAAAAACAACTACTGTATTTTTAATATTTTCAAATGATTAATTTTAACTTTTAAATAAGCTTATGAATGTATTATTGTTTTTTTAAATAATTTTTGTTGTTGCATGCCTTCAATCTTCAATCTAATATGGTGCATCATATTTGCGGACTCAAAATTTCTACACCCTTGGCACGAAGAGTTGGCTTTTTTTGTTTCCTAAAAGATTTTTTTTTATCAATTATTTAAACCACCGAAACTCCACTATATCTACTTTTTAAGAAATCACTAATATCAAAGTGATATTTCTGCATTTCAGTCCCAATAAACATTTCGCGAAGTGTCGTCCGGACTCCATTCTCCTCTGGTCACGGCAGCGATCCAGTCAACGTAGTCGCTGACCTTGGTGTACACCCCTGGCAGTCCGCCGGAGCCGCATTCTCTGGCGCCGAACGAAACGACGCCGATGAGCGAGTAAAAGCCGTCGCCGCCAGGCTCTTTGGTCTGTGGCTGTGCCAAGGGCCCGCCGCTGTCACCTTTGCAGGAATCTTCGCCCTTTGTGCCACCGGCGCACAGTTGACCTGTGAGCGGGGCACTCAAAGCACCCCTGTACTGCCGCGTGCAATATTCCTCTGTCACCACTTTCTTCCACAAAAACTGCAGCTTTGGCGACGTTGATATTGGAGCTGATGGGAAAAAATGAAGAATTAATGGAATTAGTTAGACAGGAATTGAATAATGAAGGTGGAAGAAAACTTGAAATTTTGAGGTTTAATTTTTCAAGAGTAAAAAAAATAAATCAAGAAAAAATGGAGGAGAAAAGTTAAGTGTTTCAGAGTAATTAAAAAATTGGAAGACTACAATTTTTATTTTAAAGTCATTGTTTGATTTTCAAAGTTCCAAAATTAAATCAACTTCTCTTTTTAACATTTGAGCAACAGAATAAAAAGGTTTTACTGTGCTCGAAAAAGTGTTTTAATTTTAATATTTAATGACGAAAGTCAAATTTTTTCCATTTTTTTTCTTAATATACTTTCAAATTATCTTTTTACTGATAAAAATAGTGTAAAAAATTTGATTATTAACTCACCAGGATCCAGTGCAATTTTCCCCCAGCCAGCAACAACAGCCCTGACGTTTGTCAAATTTGTTTCCTGTTTCTTTGGCAAACAAATTGGATGCACCCAACCTTAAAAGATTAACATAATTGAGGATTTATTTTGATTTTTGCTCCGATTCCTTACTTGTGAAATTAACCCGCTCTGCAAGCTTGATGACGCCAATATCATTTTTGAAAGAACTAGACTTATATTGAGGGTGTACGACAGCCCAAGAAATTTTTATTGTCTGCACCGGAAGAGCGCAACCCTCATTTTTGGTGCAGTCAGGGTCGGTGCGCTCGTCCACCTCTCCCAACACCACCCATCGCCTACAATGAATGATTCGTAATTTTTGAAAACCAAAAAAATATGGTATCTCCTACAATTGCGAGAGATGCTTATCTCGATTAATGCAATGGGCAGCAGTGACGACGTGTTCGTGACTGATCAGCGATCCTCCGCACAAGAACTCATCCGCTTTTGAATCTGCAGGGCCTACAATAATATTCAGAAATTAAATGCATATTACAATACGTGTGTAATAAATTATTTCTAAATTTTCAGCAGCTCTGAAAATACCACTTCTACTCAAGAGTTTCAAAATTTGAAATTTACAATGTATAAAACCATAATATTATTAATGACTAATAGTGTAATGAAGGAAGTATGCAACTGACGGCACATGCAAGTCGTGCCAGTTGCATAGCCGTGAATGTACAGGGGCTTATAATGCCTTCTTCAATTCTAATTTACAATGAATAATAATAAAATATCACATGTATGCAATTTTTTATGCGAAATTTTGTTATCACAATTCAATACCATTTATGTAGCCAAGTCTTGCGATCCAAGGAAATTGTCCAAGCATGGCTTCGGTCCCTCCAATAATTCTTGGGTCCAAAGATGGGTCGCATTGTCCACAGAATTGTTCAAAGTCAATACTAGGAGGTAACGTAGTGGGAACGTTGCCAAGTATGCCATTTTCACTGCAATTTTTTAATTAGAAAAACATTACAATTTTTTAGAAATATAGCAACAAAAATTCTTTAAATAAAATAAATTGCTTTGAAAACTGCGGAAAGGAAATAATTATTCAATTAACAATTTGAAAATTATTGATATCAATATTTAATTTAAAAAAAGATAACTTGGATAAAATTTACCCGATTTCGATCTCGTCCACGTATTTACCGCAGCACTTGACGTTTGGGTTTTTGGGGTCTCCGAGAGGGTCGCAAGTCGCCCTGCGGAGAGCGGATAACTGGAAGTTACTGATCGGACGCGGCCCCTGCAACACCTTGCCAAACAAGGGACACGTGTGTAGAGGCACACAGTCGCAGTCAGGACGGTCTGTGTTGTGGAGATTTTGCTGTATTAATCGCGATGATTTGTTAGACTTCCGTCGACTCGAGCAAGCGTCACCGCCGAAGTCTTGATATTGAAACATTTGAAATTGTAACAGTCGAAATTAGATAAAAACTCACCATGCAGGAACAGACTTATCAGGAGAACAATTATGCACCTCATGTTTTTGAGAGAAGCCTTGGGAAAACGTCAAGAGTTTTAAGGAGCAACGCCCGTGATTCATTTAGCCACGGGAAGAGGAAATCCTTTCCAAGAATGGCGTTTTTATCATTTCTTATCAAGCGCTAATTTTTAATAAAATTCAAATTTCTTAGAATATATCAGAATATATAGTAACTGCCACTTGTGACATAATTATAGCACAAGTGTACAAAAATGACAGGTAGTGGGTTGGGTAATAAAATATAAAAAGTACAGAAAAATAATCTGAATTCATCTAGAATAGTAAATCATTCAAGAAACACCAATTAAACCATCAAAATTAAAAATCTGATAGTGGCAATGACAATAAAAGCTTTAAAATTTCATATCCACCGCAGATTTAGTCATGTTAATCTTAATTTGAAGATAAAAAATAATTCAAGTTTATGAGAAGATTTTGATTTTATTTATGTATTTCTCCATTGCATGTTTAATGAACACCTGATTCATATTAGGTACTTAAACATTCTTACAACCAATCAGATACATAATTATTTTATTTTTAATTCAATCAGATAATAACACAAGTAGGCAGGGATATTATTTATTTTTTCAACCGTCCAAAATTAGCTTCATCGAAAGCCACTAATCAGTGTTATAAAGGTACTTTATGGTTGCTTCAGTTGCTTGGATCTAAACAGATACAATACCAATACCAATATTCATATTGGATTCATATTTTCATTTAACCAAATGAAATATAAAAAAAAAAATTCGCAACAGACTAGCAGTTATGCTGACTTTCAAATTAAATTAAATCTATTAGAATTCACTGTGCAAAAATGTAAATACCACCCCCCCCCCCCCCCAGATGAATTATTACAGTTCAAAGACTTATTTAATAATGAATATGTGAAGCAAATCAACATAAAAAATATTAATCGACAAATTAAAATTTTGCAATGCCAGGAATATTTATTTATAGCAGTTCAGAAAAGCTACTGACGCCAAATTTTGAGCCCTCGTAGGCGCCTAAAGCTTTTAGTTAGAATCTTGGATAGGCCATACATGAGGATCATTTTTTGCAACATGCTTGGCCTCGGCTGGCTTGGCTCCTCACATGATTGTGCAACAGTCCCAGGTGCCACCTGAATTATCTCGACGTCCTCGTTTTTGTTGTTCACGAGGTCCATTGTGTCTGGACGCCGGAAGATTTGGAACAGACGTTTCTTCAGTCTTTGGAATGGGGTCCCTGATACTGGATTGTGGTTGATGGTGAATCGGTTGGGGAGAAATTGGCCGGTTGTTGTAGCCTGGGGTTGGAAGGGGGCAAGAATCGGGATGTTCTGGTTCAAGCGATTGGGTGTCTGGAATTGATGTTGAAAAGCCGGAAAAGCTGAGAAAATCATTTGGTCCTCGGGCGTCTGATGTATGAAAGGCTGCTGTGGATCCAGGCTGGTTGATGTGATGTGATGACTTTGGTGATTGCTTGTCTGAAAAAGATCAATTCAAGAATCAGACTTGATTTAATAAAAATTCCATTCTATTTTGCATATATTTAAACCTGAGCCTAATCATGCAGCTATGATTGCATGCTCCATCATAGCGTATGTTTTCGAAGCTCAAATTTCTATAGTGCTAAAATTATACCCAGGACTCCTTATTACGTTTCGGAGGTGACGGCGAAAAACCCGAGATGTGTCCAGTTTCGGGCGAGCTTCGCTTCATAGGGGCCTGACTCCTCGATTCTGGGATGAGGTCAACGTACAGCTCACCTGCATTAGGTAAATTTCAAAATTAATATTCCCGACAGCAGTAAAAATCTCTCACCAATCGTTTTCCCCAGCCACTTGTCCCTTTCAGAAGTAATTTGTTGGGCTAGGTTGTAGCTCTTGTAAGGGTAGTAGACCAGTTTTTTCCCAGCCAAGGACGCAGCGAGCCACTGGATCTTGAATTTCAGAACAGCGTCCCCCTGTCGAAATAAAATTATAATTTAACATTTCAAATTTTGGCTTGATATGGGTTACTTTGAATGCGCCGCCGCCCCAGTTGCCAGTGGCGATAATCTGACGGGAAGTTCCCTTGAATCCCACATAGGCTTTCTTCAGCTCCCTGAACACATTCGTTGAATCGAATTGTTCATAGGGAGACTTCTTTGAAAAGTCCAACGCGTCAATGGCGATGATCGAGCTGCGACGCGGTTGAGACAAATCTGCCACCTTTACATAAGTGAACTCGTCTCTGTAGCCAGAGTGCACTATGTGTGTGCGAGCGCCTTCGATGATGATTGCTTCTGTGTCATCCATCTGGATGAACAGTTTCGATGGCAACAGCTCAGGGCAGGTGATGAACTTGATTTCCTCTTGCAATGAACCATTGCTCAAGACTCCTCCACCAATCTTACTGTAAAAGAATGTCCAAAGTTAGAATCATTCATATTTTTTATAAAGAAAATCAATATTATTAATGAAATTTCAATAAAATTGAATAAAATCATTAGATTTTTTTTGCAAAACAAATTGACTTTTATATTAAATAATTTAATTTTATACAAAATACTTTTTTTAAGAAATAATTTTTATATTTGATCTTTACCGATTTGCAAAATCCACTTGTGCATAGTTGTCAGGAGCGTTGGCCATGCTCTGATCTGTGCTCTCGATACCGACTTCACTGAGAAGCGTATTGTTGTTCCAGGCGGCTTGAGGAAAATCATACCCAAGCGAAACCTTTTTGTAAGTAATCACTTCGTGTCCGTCTTAAAAAGATGATCAAAATTAAAACCAATTGATGCTGCAAAAGTAAGAAAATTGACATTACTCTTATTCTCATCAAAGGCGGTTATCAGATAGTAAATCAGGCACTTGAGCTTTTCTTTTTTGACTCTGGTATTCTTGGCTCGAGAGCTGTACAGCCTGGGGAAAAACATAGATTCATTCGAATTATTCAAAATATATAAAAACTTCAAAATACCCATTGAGATTGAGCATCGACTCGTAATTGAGGAAATTCAGCCGGCTCAAGAAAGCGTTTGCCAGCAAAATCGACACTTCTCGTCTGGTCAGACGGACATCCGAAGTGCCTGAATTGAAACGTTTCTGCAATGCGTGGGCATCTCCTTCCCTCGACAGTTGAATCAAACTGGCACAAAACCACTCAAAGTTGAGGTTGTGGTCTTTTGACACCTAAAATTTAAGATTCAGTTTAAATAATTAATATTCATGAAAGAAAAAAACAGTAAATTACCTCTCGAATCGTTTCATGAAGCAGTTTCATGTCCCAGCTTGGCACATTTTCATTACGCCTGATGTAGTTTTCAAGCTCATAAGAATTTGTGATGTGCGGCTGAAACGTTATCAAATAATGATAAGAATTTCCAGAATTTACTTACTAAATTTGAACATAAAATAAGAAGTAAATGCGATATATTAACTTACAATTTCGTGGACTTGAGGAAATCTCTGTTGGTTATAAACAGTTCTAGAGTTGTATGAGTTTGCAGGCCTGAAAGTTGTACAAAGTAATTTAATAAATAAAATTTCAAAAATCCATCAGAAATCATTACAAAAATTCATGTTCTTTTATTTAAGGAAGACTGAAAAATTATTATTAATTTTTACATAATAATTTTACAAATAAATAATTAAAAAAGGTTGAAGCTTAAATAAAATTGCAACTATTGTATTCTAATTCTTATCATATATGTACTACTAAAAATAGATTTTATGCTTAATTAAGAGACCTTAAACATAAATGAGAAAATTAAAAAAAAAATCTATTGGATAAGTAAAAAATCTATCAAAAAAACATTTAATAGCATTTTCGTCAAAGAAATGATTTAGCGATTTGGTATTTATATAAATTGATTTTAAATTTTGAGGAATGAACAAATAATTGCATAATTTCATAATAATTGGATAATTTCATGGAATTATCAGAATTACATAGGTAAGAAGAAAATTCGATTTTGGCGAATTTTGTAAAAAAAAAAAACAATCGAGGAATTCGCAATGCAATTTTAAAAGAGGATGAAATATGAAATTCCACAGAGTTTCTAAATGACTTAATACCTTGGGTGATAATTATTCCTGCCGTAATTTTGATTATTCCCATTGCCGAAACCACCGAAACCACCAGCCCAGTCCGACATGTTGGTCAGCAGAAAGCAGCCGACAATAGGGGAAAAACGCAACAATCGCCACGACGCCACAGTATTGTTGGTTGTTCGTCTGCGTTCTGGAATGCGAGGGAAACAAATATACAAATTTACAAAGCTCATGCGCGCAACAAACATTCTCACATTTTCACTCGGAGGTTTTGAATGTCGACGACGCCCGACGTGGTGAGATGACTGCGTTGTTTCAAAAGTAAGACTGGATTGTTTGTTCTGCGCCGCACGGTTTTGCAGCAACGAGTTCAGACCTGCAAAGTCTAAGTCTAAAGAGTCTCGCTCTCTCTTGTTATCAGCCAAGGAGGGGCCTTGATAATTATGTACTATGAAGTCATCACCACATAAAGGCTGGACTTTGAGGCATGAATTTAAAAGTAAGTTTAATGCATAAAATTGTCACAAAGCATGCTGATTAAATTTATTAATTGATTAAGTAAACAACTTTTTGAAAGAAATAATTTCAGGTTTTTCACCAACTTATTACGATGAGAAAGAAATAAATATCCAGTAAGAGCTAAGAAATATGATGCGGTTTTAAATTCTCGGATCTTTTACATTTTTTTTAACTCGGCCAAAATTAATTTGGTTAATTTTAATGCTCATGATAAAAGCTCAAATCCAAGTTAATCTGTCAATTAATAGTAAATATATTTGAAAGAAAGTTTTCATAATAATTTGGCATTATCTGAATTTCTTCTCGACGCTTAATATGTTGATTATACATAATCAACATTAAAATCCTTCGTCAGCGTTCGTCATATAAGAGTTCATAGATTTTCCATGCTATTGTTTTTTTCTTCCAGATTTAATTTTTATTTATCTCATTTGTGAGAAATTACAAATTATTGGTTTCAAACTGGTCTGAATAATAATAATTAAAATAATTGATTGCATTGGAGACGATCGAGCTTTTGGAAAACTGTTTTATTTTTGCTGAAGTGATTTTATATTACAAGAAAACACTTAGCGTCTTTATTATTTAAAAATAGCTTTTTAATACAAAATTTTACATTGCTTATATTGTTAGACATTCAGTGAACTTTTAACAATTTTTGGCATACACAGGCATTTTGTCTCACGCGGCCTTTAAATTAAAATCAAAATTGAGCCTCAAAATCAGCTCAAAATAATAAATACAGACATCCAAAAAATACACCAGGTTATTTTCTATTAAATTTTTTTAACAAAATCATAAATCATATGTGTCCAAGAAAATTATCAGCTTTTGATACTTCTAATTATAACATTAAAAAATTTGCTTTTAAAAATTTATTTTCGCATGAAATCAAATATTTGAAATATGATATAATGAATCGGCAAAAATATTTTGTGAAAAGTACGGAAATGTTTTTCCTAATTCATTTCTTACAAAAAGAACCTATTCAGAGAGCTTGCGAGTTGCTTAAATTGAGTACAAATTTAGGTGTCATTTCATTTTTTTAACCTTGTCAAGGGGAATTGAGATTGAGATTAGGGAACATCACTGATAAAATGCCACTGGGATCAACATTATTGCTGGCAGATTGACCATTTCTGCGATTGAATGACCGCCGCAGGGGATTCGGAGCAGAGAACGGTCTTGGTACTCCTTGCTTGTAATTGGTGGTGTACTCAATCAGAAAGCTCGGAAAAACCTGTAACAGATTCACTATTTAGAACGTTCATCATAGAAATTTTAATTAAATTTAAAGCCCCTCAAATAATCCAGAACAAATCTAAAGAAATTAACCTTTTCCTAGGAACAGCCTAAAATAAATCCAGAGAGTGCTATCTCGACATAATCCAGATAAGACGAAATAATTTCATGCGCACATAAATTGGCTGAATTAAAAAATCTTGAGCTAAATTTCCCTTAAATTGTGATGGATTTTATTTTTTCAGAAAGATTTTATTAATGATTAAATAATCAATTAAAAGACTGACTGATACCCTGAACAAAACTTGAATGTTCTAAAAATGATAAATGATCCTGTTTTAAAAAGTGGAACTTTTGTGGATACATTTGAGCCATGACAATAATTTCTTTTCGCCTTATCACCTAATTGTAAGTTTGGTCTGAAGAAAAAAAAAATATTATGAAAACCCTCGACGAAAAATCTTTGGTGGCTTTTAATTTTTGGTGTCACAAATTTGTAATTCAATTCCAAAGATTACAACGTTTCTAAAAAAAAATAGGAAACTAACAAGCATATTTCTGTCGTTTTTTTACCTATTTTAAGTTTCATAATATTAAAGAGGCATTTTCAAGGCTTGAAGGAATAAGTAATATGTTTTTTTTGCACAGGAAACTTATTTACAGAACCGTGCTAAATTTAATTTTAATGGGTTTTTTTTTAAGAAAAAGAAAGCTTACTTGATCATCGTTGTAAATTATGTACTCTGGGAATTTAAGAAATCCACTTTTAGCCTCTGCCCGGACAGAATGAAACCCGCTCGGAAGGGACGTGATGGTGTCGGTCGTGTTGTAAACTCTGCCCACAGCCACTTTGCAAATCAGAACTCGTCGTATGCAAATTTGGCATCGCCGATTGTTGTGCGGTTGGCATGGCTTGAAGTTGCCGAATGCGTAATTGTTACTCTTTGACGAATTCTCAGCGAAATATACTCCTAAAAATTTTGGTTTAAAAAAACAAAAATATTCTATCTTGAAATTGTTTACCATTTCCAAACATGCCACTGTTTTTTGCAAATCCGCGGTCGAATCCCTCACTGGCAATCGCTAAAGCGTTGGGTGAGCCGTGAAAAATTCGTTTCTCCGTCACCCTTTTTCCACCCAGATCTTGGCTGATTTGCGCCCTTCTTTTTACATAAAGGGGCCAAGTGTGTTTGTTGTTTATGCGATAAGCCTAGATAAAAATATTAATTTTATTTAAAAACAATTGAATGATAAAAACAAAAAATTTTCAACTCGTCGTACCTGCTTAATGTCGTAGCTCTCGACTTCATCATGGACGATGGTATTATGCATTTTGTCTCGAACGTACGCAAAACAACGACCCGTTGCAGAGAGCTCCTCCAGCTCGATTCCGTCAAACCAATTTCCACGAGGCATGATTTAAGTCCCTGTTTTTAGATTTAAGGTGTTGGAAGATTGATTTGAGTGTGAGACTTTTAAGTAGGGATGCTCGCAAAGCGTATTGTTAGACTTCTTTCAATCTTATCGCAAAAGTCCCAAGTGCAAGCTGGGAATTAAATTGTTAATTGCCCTTGGTATTAATATTAATTTAATAATTATTAATTAAATAATATATTGCCTCCTTGAAATAGCAGTTCTAAATAGACAAAAATTTAAAAAAAAAAAAGATACTACCATCATCTAATTTAATGGCTGCGGTTAATTAATTTAAATAAAATTTTAAATTTTTACTTTCATGATAAAATTTGTACATTTCATTGAAAAAAAGTAGCTTTGAAGGAAAATTCAATAAAATTTCAACAAAATTAAGAAATCATTTAAATTAAAAAAAAATACCCCTGATATTTTTAAAACATTTTAGAAATATGCAGATATTAGTTAGACTATAGTGTGTGATTAAATTATATTAAAATTAATGAAATTAAATTTAATAATTTGATAGCTAGAAATAATTGTGAGCAATGTTACCGCTTTTTTGTGTCTGCTGCTGATGATCACGCGCTGTACCTCTTTGCCGATTCTCTCTCCGATGGAGCTCTTACATGCTCTCGATCAAAATTAGACCTAACAGAAAGTCTTACACATATTGAAGATAGCCTATCTCGTCTAACTAAGCGCAAGTGCACGCAATTTTCATCCTGTATGCTTTATGCTCAAAATTTCTTTATATGAATGTATTTTTTATTTATTGATTTTGCATATTCACAAAAAATTTATTCTGCCAGGAATTATCCAAAATTTCCCGTCTCTCGCTCGGGAATTTAATACTCCTTATTTTGTTCACGTCCGGTTCCGTCATCCGTTTAATCCATGATTTCACATTTATTAAAGATAAAGGGGAGAAATTGATCATGCAGATAAATTAAAGAGCTGCATTATCTTTTCGTTTTTTTATTTTATTTTTAATATGAGCTATAATTCTTGAGAAAATTGTTGTTCAAAGTTTAAAAAGTTTTCATAATTATCTTTTACAAAAAATACCAGATTAAATATTAATAATATTCAAATAATTCTTCTTATTTGATTGGACTCATTTACTGCAGCATAAAAAACAGTTTAATTTTACATTTAAATAAATTTTAATTTTTTTTTTACTTTTAGAAAAGTCAAATTTTATAAATGTGAGTTGTATGATATATAAGTTGTAACTATGATATTAGGCCTGCAAAGAAATTTTTGCCTTGGTTATTTTCCTGTTTTTCAATTTAATAATATGAACTTTATTATTTATTAATAGAGCGTTTTGATGCATTAATCATGCTGATTTTATCATTTTATTCATAAATGTGTCATTTTAAACCTATGATTAATAAAAGAACATTTTTAAAAATTGTCATAATATAATTCTAATTTAATTCAATCTCATAATAATTTAAAATTGGCATTGTTGGAAAAGTACATCAATATCACTAGCAAGAAATCAAAAAAAGAAATCTTAATGTTGCAAAGAGTCTTGATAACTTTGATTGTCTTGGTTTTCTTCTTGGCACTATCACAAATTCTACGACTTTTTATACTACAATCAGCATAATAATATCAATATTCATACTTGGTTTATGAATTCAAAAAATTGTATGCACAAAAACCACATCGTAAACCTGACTTTTAATTAAATATCACTCCGTTTCATTTCTAATGTGACAAAAAAATCTTGTTACAGCTTACAATTTTTTGTTACAATCCCTCTTCAAAGCAATTTTTTGATGTAAGTAAGAACTGCTCAGAAAATATCACATAACTACACACGACTCATCAGATGAGCTAGAAGAATCAGAGGAATAGGGATCATTAATAACTATTACACCAGGGCTATCTGAATCGTCCGAATCATCAGAGCTCTCGCTGTCGGAACTTTCTGATTCTTCCGAATTATCAGAGCTTTCGGGAGTTGGCGTATGTTTGAAATTAGCAGTGTATTCAATCAAAAATCTGGGGTAGACCTGTAAAAATTAATTATAATATCATATAAATGTCATATTATTGTTGGTACAACTTAAATTATATCATTGACTAATTTGAGTCTAATATTTTTACTAGAGTCAAAATAAAAACCAAGAGTTGAACAATTGTCATTCCTCTGTAGAGTGGATTTGCCTTTTAATATTGTGCTGTGTTTAACCTTAATCCTTAATCAACAAATAATGATGACTAAAAATTATTCATGATCAAATTGTTTTGATATTGTTTTCAAAATTTTTGTAATATTGATTTCTCGCCAAAAAGAAACCTACCTGGTCATCATTATAAATTATGTACTCTGGGTATAAGAGAAACCCGTCTTGGGGCTTGGCTTTGATTGAGTGATATCCATGTGGCAGTGAGGTCAAAACCTGGGTTGCGTTGTAAACCCTGCCGAGCGCCACTTTGCACAAAAGCATAGAGCGAGTGCATATTTCGCAAAGTCGATTTTTGTGTCGCGGACAAGGTTCACAGCAACCGAATGCGTAGTTGTTGCTTTTGGAGGAATGCTCTGCAAAATATACCCCTGAAAAAATTAAAAAATTAATTTTGCTTCGTTTTTCTTCTTCTAAATTTCGCTTTAAACCTTTTCCAAACATTCCTGAAGTTTTGGCAAATCCTTGATCGAAGCCTTCTTTGGCGATTTTCTCAGCTTGAGGCGACCCGTGGAAAAGACGTTTTTCCTCTACCCATTTTCCACCCAGCTCCATACTCATTTGCTCCCTTCTTTTTTTATAACGCGGCCAAATGTATTTGTTGTTGACTCTGTAAATCTATGTTTGAATTAATTATTATTATTTAAAAAAAAAAATTAGATTTCTGAAAAGAGAGATGAAAGGATATCAGCACAAATCATCCAATTTAATCTGAAAAAGATAAACAATTTCCAACTATTTTTCAATTCATTGTTACCATCTCTATGTCGTAGCTCTGAACTTCGTCGTGGCAAATCGAGCTGTGCATTTTGTCCTTCACATATTCATAATCTTTGGAACCCTTTTGCAGTGCCTCCAGCTGGATACCGTTGTACCAATTCCCGTGTGCCATATTTGTTTGCCAGAAAACTGCAAATAAATAAATGTCGATTTAAAAAAAAAAAAATTTAAAACTAAATTTTTGAATTACATTCGCTAGGCGTGCTATTCAGCTTCAGCGCTATAATAGGTACAAAAATACTCAACGCACAAGAGGAAATCAATGATGAGGCGCGAAATATAAAGCGATGAGATTAAATGGCAATCCTTGTGTCTGCCGATGCAGAGATCGTTGTGAGTTGTGACGATAAGGCCAAGGGCCTTGAATGGTTGCTTAATAATACTCCTCTAGGCCTTAGACTTTCTGGTTGGTAAGCTAAAATCTTGCTAAAAAACTTGCCAAATAATTGAAGTTAAAAATGTGCAAACTTTTTTTATTATACAGCATCGGGTTCTATCGACGATACCATACCATGATTGATTCCTTTCTCTGATGGAAATCAATTTGCTACAATATGAGGCTAACCGCAGTCCTGTTTCAAATTAATTCCCAAATCTGAATCATTGTGGACGCCCAAAAATAGTCTTAGTTAATGAATGGTCTACGCAGAATAAAAAATCTTTCTAGAGAAATTTTTTCCCAGAACTGTAGCAAAATTATTTTCAATCAAAGACTTCTTTTGAAAAATCTGGCATTCTTCATTCTTTACCCAATAAATTCATAATGACAGCCAATTATTTTTTTCTTGAATAAATAAAAAACCAGGATTTTTGCTTAAAATTCTACATTTAATTTATTTTATAAAGGATCTGCAAAAATAAATCCCAATTAAGCGATTCTTTTATAACATTTATTAATAATTCTTTTCAGCTTTGATATCTTTTGAAAAAAAAATAACTCTCATGTTTATAATAATACCTAATTTTTTTTTAAATACATTTCAAACAAAATAACGAGTACAGATTGCAATAAGAATATAGATAAATGCTAACTGATCTAAAAGTGAAAAATTTGAGTAAACCGCCTGTAAAGAGATTGTACCAATATCATAAAATTCATAAATCAAAGGAATCAAATTAGAAACCAATACTGTTGTAACGAATATTAAGGTTATGCTCTTATTCATATCCATATTCGAGTTTCTTTGTTGGTTGACTTGTTTGATTGGATTGCTTTGCTTCATTGTCTGCATTATTCCTCTACGAGATGAGCCACTTGTATTATTGATCCCTTTTGAACTGAATTGAGAATAAATAAATAACAAGTTTGAAAAAAAATGCTACAGAAATTACCTATACTTGGCAGTATACTCTACCAAAAAGCTAGGATATACCTGTTGAGGAATAAACTATAATTAATTAGTGTACATAGAAACCAAATGCTTTCGAACATTGGTTTTTTTTTTATCTTTTGCAAGTTTTCATACCTGATCGTCATTGTAAATTATGTACTCGGGACGCAACAGAAAACCAGTATCTGGTATGGCTTTGACTGAATGATATCCTTCAGGAAGAGATTTCACAGTCCTATTCGTCTCATACATTCTTCCGAGAGCGACTTTGCAAATCAAAATTCGTCTAATGCAAATCTCGCAATGCAATTCGTCGTGTTTTTCACATTTCTTGAAGGCACCGAAAGCGTAGTTGTTGCTTTTGGATGAATGTTCCGCAAAATAGACGCCTGCATAACAAAACTTTATTTCAGAAAATATACATAGAAAAAAATTTCTCGCACCGTCTCCGAACATTCCCGATTTTTTGGCGAATCCTCTGTCAAATCCTTCAGTAGCGATTTTCTTTGCGTGGGGTGAGCCGTGAAAGAGGCGCATTTCTGTGACCCACGCACCCCCTAGTTCTTGGCTGATTTCCTTCCTCCTCTCTTTATACCGATTCCAAGTGTACTTGTTCTTAATTCTGTATACCTAAAATTATTTAAAATTTAAAGTCAAATTAAGTTTTACTGTTGTTTGCAATTCTTCCTTACATTTTCAATATCAAAACTCTCAACCTTGTCGTGGTTTATTGTACTTTGAACTTTCTCCTTTGCAAATATGTAACCGCCTCTCTCTGGCGATAATTCTTCTAGTTCGATTCCATCGAACCATCTTCCGGGAGGCATATTTCTATTAAAAAGGTGCATATTACAGTCATATTAGTTTTGTAATTCACTATATGTGTATTTTAATTTTATAATTAGTTACTTTATGTAAGTTTGACCAACTTCAGATTAATGGAATGAAAATATTATTTTATGATATAGTTGAAATATTCTTATTACATATATATTTTTCAATTTATTTATTATAAAAGTATAGAAAGCGATCACCAAGATTATCAAATAAATAATGAGGTAGCCGGCCGAGTTCAAAATTGTTAGTCGAAGGTGTAGCGCAATATCTTAATTTATACCCGTGGAAATAAAAAGCTAATACGCTGAATGCAGACTTTAAAAGTCCTTCCTTTCAATGGGCATGACTGTATGATTGTAAATTTTTACTGGAAATTGTTCATTTCATCATTTAAAAAAAGAGCAGTAATTTTTAGGAGAATTAAATTAAATAACGACACAATAATGATGTACCAAACATTTTCAAACAAAAAATTTGCACGTAATTGTAATGACCGATGCGCGGCCTATCAGAATACATACAAAAATTATGATAGGAAATTCCGACAGGAAAGTTTAATTCTGATGATCGCTGTTCCAGGCTTCAGACGAAAATTAACAAGTCTGATATTTTAAAAACTTTTTAGTAATATAACATGCAGATAATAATTACATTTGTGTGTGATAAAAATAATATTAAAATAATAATAATAATTGAATAACTTGCTTGAGATAATGGTGAGTAATACAAGTAACGTTACCGCTTTTTTTGTACTCTGCTGTTGATCATGCACTTTGCCGTTTGCCAACTATCTTTCTTCGGTGAGTTCGGTGGAGCTCTTACATGCTCTTTGTACTAGACCTAACAGAAAGTCTTAATTGTTTAAATAAGCGCAATCGCACGCAATTTTCATCCTACGAGACTTGACCACTCTGATATTAAATTTTTATATTACGTATATTCACACAAAAATTTATTCTGCCGGGAACTTTTCCAAAATTTCCCGTCTCGTTCCCGATTTAATACTCATTATCTCTTTCTGTTTCAAACAATTACCAAATCTGAATCTTCTCTTTGTGGAAGGCACCAAACTGTAGTCTTGGTGAATGAATGATCCGCAGAATAAAAACTCTTTCTTGCGAAATTTATCAATGAGCTATCATAGTCACCCACCAATTTAATATGCAATATAAAAAAATTAAAAATCCATATGATAATATAATTTTGGAGTTTTAAAATTTATATTCACTATTCCTTAATTTAAAAATTTAGTCCGTTTGTGGCATTCTTGAATATTTTTAAAATATGGCGAAATTTTAACATTTAATTTGTTTACAATATATTTGAAATCATTTGAAATAATTTTTGAATTAATGTCAAAAGCTTTAAAGTATATTGCACGTGTGAATGAAATGATTGCTTGGTGCTTGGTAATACGCAAATTATATTTCAATTAAAAGTAAAGAATAAAAATAAAATAATTTTTATTTAAAATAGTATTACAAAAGCAATCAACCCTCCACTCGCCTGTAAATTGTTTTGAATGAAAACAAAACAACGCTCAATATGTAAAAGTTCTGCCAAAAAATCGCGGTCTTCCAAATAACAATTCAGCTTTTTCATTTAATTCACGCACAAATACTGCATATCAAGCCTCTACCCTCAGCGTCACGGGCAGACCATTGTACAAATTTGAAACGCTTAATGTAAGATTTTGCTGAGACAGCGACAATTTTTGATTTGGCACACGTCACTTGCTGGTCACTGATTATTTTGCACCTCATGCGATTTGCTGGTGCTAACTTCGCATGTGAATATCCCCCATTTATTTTGCCATAAACCGCAACTCATTGTTTCCAGGTCGATTCAGGGTTAGATCTTTTAATACTCAAGCAATAACACATGCTTGATCCGTTGACTTCTTATACTTGGCAGTGTACTCTACCAAATAGCTGGGATACACCTGTTAAAAAAAGCGTGCATTAATTACACCAAGCTTTTTGCTGGTGCATTTTCGTTTTTCAGCGATATCTTTATAATATTTCCATACCTGATCGTCATTATAAATTATGTACTCGGGACGCAACAGAAATCCAGTATCTGGTATGGCTTTGACGGAATGATATCCTTCAGGAAGATATTTCACAGTCCTATTCGTCTCATACATTCTTCCGAGAGCGACTTTGCAAATCAAAATTCGTCTAATGCAAATCTCGCAATGCAATTCGTCGTGTTTTTCACATTTCTTGAAGGCACCGAAAGCGTAGTTGTTGCTTTTGGATGAATGTTCCGCAAAATAGACGCCTGCATAACAAAACTTTATTTTAGAAAATATACGTAGAAAAAAATTTCTCGCACCGTCTCCGAACATTCCCGATTTTTTGGCGAATCCTCTGTCAAATCCTTCATTAGCGATTGTCTTTGCGTGGGGTGAGCCGTGAAAGAGGCGCATTTCTTTGACCCACGCACCCCCTAGTTCTTGACTCATTTTCTCCCTCCTCTCTCTATATCGATTCCAAGTGTACTTGTTCTTAATTCTGTATACCTAAAATTATTTAAAATTTTAATTCAAATTAAGTTTTACTTTTGTTTGCAATTGTTCCTTACACTTTCGATATCAAAACTCTCAACCTCGTCGTGGTTTATTGTACTTTGAACTTTCTCCTTTGCAAATTGATAACCATCTCTTTCTGGCGATAATTCTTCTAGCTCGATTCCATCGGACCATCTTCCGGGAGGCATATTTCTTTTTATAAAGTTATGATAGTTGATATATCAATTACATTTCTTATTAATTAGGACTTTGGAAACGGCAGGACCTGAAATTAATTATAAAAACGGTTATTATCGTTACTTACAGTTAGACATAAGAAAACAACTACAAAAGAAATCAAGTTAAAAATCAAAACCTTTTTTGTTAAAATCTATTGAAAACATACAAATAATAATGAATAAATACCTTAGAAAGGCGAAAAAATTTTAAGGCAGTGGTTGCTGGTTCACAATTGTAGATTTGTGCTGGGGAATGCTAAAAGATTTGTATTTATCCGTATAAAAAGTCTATTTGATAAAAACACTGATTTTATAAAAGTCATTGTTGCTTGTTGAAATCAAAAAGTCTAATCTTCGCTTGGGCTGTATTTAAATTGTAAATTTCGCTTACTGAATTGTAGCCTTGCAGTTTACTATCAGTACCAAAAAAGTCTTGCTCAAAGACGATTGTCATTAGTCATCATATAACAAAAAATGTTAAAATTTATTAACCATCTCCAACTTATTTGAATCACTCCTTTGTTCTTAAGCAAGCCATGCTTTAGTTCTAAAATTTATTTTTCTCATATAAATTTCGATCAATGAAATAATTACTGTATTGTTTCTAAACTAAAATATTTTTTTTAATTTCTAGGGTTATTGTGATGATTTCATCAAATCATTAAAGGTTCATAATTGACTCGCAAAAACAAAAAATTCTCACAGTTGTTGTATTTATTGAATATATTACAATTATTATACGGCTTTGGCTTTGGCACAGCTTCCTTTAATCACAAAATAATGCAGCCTTTCGTGTTTTGGCGATTCTGTTGAGGTTTATTCACTGAAAAATATAAGTTCTGTGTTACAAAACAATTTTTTTTTTACAAGTTTTCTGTATTTGATTTTTTTGTTATATTTTTTTGGTTTATACGGTAAAAATACATATTTTTATTGTTAGTTAAAATGCAGTTTTGAACCTTAATTACACTAATATAAGCAACTTTATCAAAGCGGTGTCGCACTTACTCATTCTCTTCAACCTCAAAAATTGTCTAAAAAAGGGATCGATTTGCGGATTAGGCCTCGGCACAACTTGAGCTGTGTAGGTGGTTGTATACTCAATCAGGAATCTCGGATAAACCTGTGAAAAATCGGATAAAGTTTCATAATGAGTCAAAACGATGTTTCTATTCAAAAATTAATTTTCACACCAAATTTACATACTTGATCATCGTTGTAAATGATGTATTCTACGTGATTCAAAAATCCTCTTTGCGGAAGCGCCTTGACCGAGTGATAGCCGCGTGGACACGATTTCACAGTGGAGGTAGTTTCAAAGACTTTCCCCAAAGCTACTTTGCAAAGCGTGCAAAGTTCGCATTGACGATTTGTGTGGTCTTTGCACGGAGAGAAATTTCCATAGGCGTAGTTGTTGCTCTTTGACGAGTTTTCAGCGAAGTAGACACCTTATCAAGTTTTAATTTTGTATCAGGCATGTTTTTTTTTATTAAGATGCAGATTGTTTAAAAGTACCTTTGCCAAACATTCCCGAGTCCTTTGCGTATCCACGATCAAAACCGTCTGTAGCAATTTCTTGAGCGTGGGGAGATCCGTGAAAAAGGCGCTTTTCCTCAACCCACGATCCTTCCATTTCATTCTTAATCACTTCTCTTCTATTTACGTATCTTGGCCAATTCTTATTATTTGCAATCCTGAAAATCTGCTCTTGAAAATTTAATTTATATTTTTTTTATACATCAATCCAAAAACTGCCTCTATTGAAATTTTCGCATAAAATAGTCATCTAGCCGCTTTTAATACCTTCTTTATGTTGTAGTGCGCCACATCACGGTGACAAATAGTCTTTTGCATTTTGTCTACTACATATTTAAAACACCTTCTTTCTTCCGCAAGCTCCTCAAGTTTGATGCCATCATACAAATTTCCTTGGCCTCTTAGCATTTTGAACTCTGCAAAAGATTAAATATTTTCACACTAATTTTTAGTAAAAAAATATCCACTACTTTGCAAATGCAAATCAATAATGGCATTAATATTATTTGTAAACAATTTTTTACTATTTTTTAGTCATGAGCGCTATTTTGGTTTTAGTTGTAAAATTTCAGAACGTAACTCACAATCAGTGTGTTGGGGAAAAACCATACCAGCTTCTTGTCTTACAATTTTTCTTCGGTGCTATGTGCGTCGGTTCAGAGCTAAAGGACATTCAAACTCTGTATCGGAGATAAACGCAGGTTGTCTTAGACTGCGAGAGATTTTGTTGTGACGAGCTTGGAATTGAGCCAGTGGATGCAACGTGTAAGACTTTTAAGTCTTTCACTTTTGCAAAATTAAATTTTCTTTAAATGGCTATAAGAAAAAGGGGAAAAATATGGATTTTTCTAATTATTTTAAATAATATTAATGCACCTATTTCAGCTAACTGTGGCTTAAATCATATATTATTTTACGAAAACATAATAATTATTTTATGTAATTTTTTAAATTTAGAATTAAGCGTGAAGCCTAAATAATTAATTAAATTAGGACCTTCCATGAATTGATAAGTCTAATGTAAAAGTATAATACTGGTTCTTTTTTTCTGCACGTAAAGAAAATTTTCTTATCAGTCTTTCGGAGAAAAATGTTATCCGTTATAACGTCATCCTATATGTTTTGGTAATTTCACTTTTAATGTATGACTTGAGTAGAATAAACAACAATAATAATAATTAATAATTAATTTTGTAGTCAAGGAATTCAATTTTGAGATTGCTTTTTCATAAATTAAAAAAACTTTTTAATATTGCTTTTTTGACACATTTTTTCATAGAATAATAAAATATTCTTGATTTTTTGATTTTATTTATATTTAGCAACAATCATTCCAAATTTTGAATCAGTTTGTAGTTTTTTATTAGTTGAAGGTTGTTGAATGCCATACACATTTTCATATTATTCGTTTGAATGAATAAAAGTAAACAATAGTTCAATTTTCAGTTGCTTTTCTTTATTGAGAATTTTATAAACAAAAATAGCCAACAAACTGGATGCATTTTCAAATGTAAGATGCAATTATTACCTCCGTAAAAATTTGGGATGAAAATTCAAATTTAACAGTTCAAAACATTTTTTCAATGATTGTTTGTTACTTTGCAGCAATCACAATGTATAAAATACAGTAGAAAAATAGTAATGCAGCCAATATATGTTTAAAAAAGTAAAAATATGACTCTATAATTATTACATAGAAGCACTGCTTGTATTAAGCAGATTGTTATAAGCACTAAATAACATCAATTTAATCTACGCTTCACAAAATTATCTTTTTGATTCATAGAATAGCTAATTTGACATTTTTGAAAATATTTTAGCATCGTCATTTTAATTTAAAAATATTTTTGCTCACATCAAAGAGCAGCCATCTTTATAGTTTGCTGTGTACTCAATCAAGTAGCTGGGATACACCTGTGAATAAAATTAAAAGAATTCAACTGACATAGAATGAATTTTAGTCCTCACCTGATCGTCATTATAAATCACATATTCGGGGAAAGCGAGGCGCATGCCGGCGTTGCCCCGAACTGAATGATAACCCTTGGGAAGCGAGCTTGTCGTTGAAAATGTTGTTTCATACAGTTTTCCAATTGCCACCTTGCAAATTAGCATTTTTCGCACGCACGAGCTGCAATTGCCGGTGCTGTGTCGGGGACAAGGCTGTAGGCAGCCAAACGAGTAGTTATTGCTCTTGGACGAATGTTCCGCAAAGTAGACTCCTGAAAACAAAATAGCGAGAATTTTTTTAATTTATTTGCAGCATTTTTAGAAAACCTACCAGCACCAAACATTCCAGACGACTTTGCAAATCCGCGGTCAAATCCTTCGTTGGCAATGGTCTCTGCATTTGGCGACCCGTGAAAAAGTCTTCGTTCCGTAACCCTTTGCCCTCCCATATCTCTGCAGATTTGCGCCCTGCGCTTTACGTATCTCGGCCATGTATATTTATTGTTGATTCGAAACACCTTAGTAAAAAATTAAGTATTTGTAATTCATTATTGGTCAAAGTTAATTATATTCTTGTCAAATTAAGTAAAAAATATAGAATTTGAAAAAATATTAATTTCTGTTAATTAAATACCCAAAATTATCAAATTATTTTTTAAATTTAGCCTTTAATATTAATTGTTTATCAGAAAGAAATAAAAACATTGAGTCATTGTTGATTGTTAATTTACCTTCCTAATATCATAATTCAGCACGTCACCGTGGCCAATAGTTTTGTGCATTTTGGTATGAACATATTGGAAGTCCTTGTGGCTGCGTTGAAGCTCCTCAAGCTCTATTCCGTCATACCATCGTCTTGCCATTCTAAAAGAACAATTAATTTGATATCATTTTGCTTATTAAATCAGCAGATTAGATACCGCCGGTTTTTTCACTTCAGTGTAAGACTTTTCCAACATTTTATCATATGAAGTAAATTAGTAAATCAGTTAAAATATTATGACAATATGCAAGCAAATTTTTTTTAAATTTATAATACTGAGAAATTTTTAACATCTAGACAAATAAAAAGTTTGTTAAAAAGCAAAATTTTTGAATATCTTAGAAAAGAGTTATGCAGTCCTTACGTGATATGTTAACGGCAGTGAAGAAATTACGATTCGCCTCTTTTGCTCTCGCAGAACACTTTCGTTCAAGAGAGCCGGCCGGCCGCACTTATCTGCTGGTGTGGGATTGTAAGTCTCACAAGAAAAAGTCTATGGCCAAAATATTGGTATAGCATCATTGGTATAAATTTAGACTTTTTGATAACGACAAATTAAAAATGATTTAATTTTTACTCTTGTACAGTGAAAAAAAGTAATAAACAATCTTAATTAATTCACCTAAATAGTATAATAAATACAATTTGGGTATAAATCAATAATGTTGGGTAAATCGCCCTAATTGCGTTAACAGAATACTTATTTGAATTTTATATGAGAATTAAAAATCTTCATGCAAAATACGCGGTTGTGGATGAAAATTACGATATTTCATTCTAGTAATTACATTTTTTTAAGAAATTTCTGGTATGGTAAAAAGATTTGTTTTTATTTAAAGAATTTAACAAAAATTGAAGAAATTTATGCTATGAAAAGTTTATGGGAAAACTAAACACTCGGGGGCATTCACTAGAGATTCCCCCCCCCCCCCCCCCCCCCGGGAGGATAGTGGCGGGACAAATTTTAGCTCGGGTTAAAAAATTTAGCTCTTTTGAGCGGGAGAAATTTTTAGTCCATCCCAGCGTTTTTCTCATCTAGCAAATCAGCTATTTCAAACAAAAATCCGTTCATATGTTGGGTAATAAATTAAATCATTGTCGCTTAGCTGCTGGTATCACTTTTTCACCCAATAACAATTTGATTCAGATTTCAGCAGTAATATTTTAACTCAGACACACTAAAATAATTTTTGTTCCAACATGCAGAATTAAAATTAATGAAATGCTTTAAGAAATGTTGATTTCATATAATTTCTTTATTGTCATCTTTATCTGCACATGGAATCGATTGCGGCTGTAAAGTTTAGCCTTCGCTTTTAAAATAACATAATTTTAGTGAGAATTGCGTACCAAAATATATTGGTTTACTTACAATGGTATTAAATTTTAAAATTGGTAATATTGGGAGGAGGCACTTAGCAACTTGGGAGTGAATAGCATAATTATAAATGCTGCTCAAAAGTTTAGTCAGGTGCTTTCCTGTTTCAGCCAATTTAAGCAATTTTCCATGAGCAATTTGATTTGATTTAACATATTTCTTTATGAGGAAAAATATTTTACATAATAATAGTGATTTAATTATTTTGTATAAATCAATAACAAATGCACAAAGACACAGTGGAGATAATTGACATTATAGTATTCATTAATATTGTTTCATAAAAATTGTACACAAGTTTATTTTTTCTCATTAAAATTAACTATTTCCATTTTAAGATCAATTATGCAGCAGGAGGAAATTACTGAGTAAATTAGGAATTCACTTGAAAGCATTTTATTTTACTTTCCCCCCTCTGCTTTCAGAAAAAGGAACAAGACTCAGATCAGAGTCACCATACATCTTTCAATTATGCTTTCAAAAGAAACTAACTGATCTGCAAAATTGCAGTTGTTTTGATTTTAAACTCCTCTTATGTTTCTAAATTTGGGCATTGCTTCTAGTAATGTAAGCCACTAAATCTTTCTTTCTCTCTCTCAAGACAAGGAAGACAAAGATTCCTTAATAGTAGTAGTACTCATCCTCATCAGAGGAAGACGAATCGTAGACAGGCTGAGAACGGTAGCTGCTTTGGTAAGATGGTCCCCGAGAGCTTCCCGAGGAGGAGGACTGAGAATAGTTGTATCTTGGAACAGGAACTGGGCGCCCAAATGGCGGAGGAGGAGAGACGTATCGGCCTTGTCTCTTCAGTTTTATTCTGTACTCGACAAGGTACAAAGGCAGAACCTGAAGAATAAATTTATTTATTTAGTTGAAGAAAAAAAACAAAAATTGATGAAAATATTAAGCAATTATTTTTGCATCCAGTTGAAATACTTGAAATTTGAAATATAACTATCAAAAAATTAGGAAAATAGTTTGCGTAATTGAGTTTTTGGAAAAAAATGATTACCATTGAAAAAAAATTTATTTGAAAATAAAACGATCAAAATCCCAATTTAAATTTCAAATGGTATTATTTAATTAATTTTTAACATCAATAAATTTAAAAATTTCTATGCATTACTTTACTGCATTTAAAAGAAATATTCTTTTCAATTTCAATAATAATATTTTTTTTAGCTAAATAAAATAAGCCATGCTGCTTTACTTGGTGTTTGCTGAAGAAGACAAACTCTGGGTGCACAAGGAAGCGCGCAATGTCCCCATTGGAGTGTGGGTCAGCTTCGACACTGTGGTGTCCAGGAGGGACGGGCTCTTTGGGGTAGGAAGGCTTGAACTTGCGGCCCATCGAGCACTTGCAGATGAGCATCCTGCGCACGCAGACGTCACAGGCGATGTCGTTGTGCCGAGGACAGCCCTGGTTGGCGCCCCAAGAGTACTGGTTTGCTTTGGACGACTTGTCCGTGAAGTAGACGCCCTTGCCAAACATGTTCTCTTCACTCGAGTGGGCGACGTTGAAGCCGTCTTCAATGATGTCCCAAGCCTTCGGTGTGCCATGGAAGAGGACATTGATCTCTTGGAACATTCCAAGCTTCCTCTTCATCCGCTTGATGCGGTCCCAGAACTTGCTGGAGCGCATTGGATCGTCAATTTTGAAGACCTATTCGGACAAATTATTAGTTACAACTTTAAAAAATTTTAAAGATGAATTTTTTAAATTTCTGATCATCAAAATTAAAACAAATTTAATAATTTTAAAACAAAATAGATCAATAAATTTTTATACCCAAACAGAAATATTCAAAATGAAGCATAAATTTTCAGTTTAATCTTTTACAAACTTATGAATCTTAGTAAAAAAAAACTTGCATTGATCAAGCTGTAGGAGTTCAGAGGGATGTTATTGTTGTGCTGGACAATGCTGTTGTGCATCAGGTCGTTGACATAGTCCGAGTCAGGGTGGTCCAAGTTCAATTTCCTGGCAGTCATATTTTCCGAAATTTTCTGCCCACTGAAAACCACAAGGAATTTCAATAAAAATTTCTAATCAAAGAACAATTTAAGTCTCAAACCAAATAAAACTTCAGTAAAATTATTCCTGCGTATGAGCGTCCACCACGTTTTTTGGTATAAATCCCAAATTTTATCTTGCAAAAAAGTTAAGCGGCTGCGTTGCCAAGAAAAAGCCACGTCACTTTAAGCTTTAACCTTTGCAGTGTAATTAAAAGATCAAACAAATTATTATATTGCTCACTTGGCGAAAAAAAAACAACGTGCGACAACTTGTTGCCACAAAAAGAACCATGCTGAAAATGTCAACAAAAACTAATCAACCTCACACCGCTCACACGTGCTATCACAAAAGGTGTCAAGACAAAGACAATTGCTCACCTGCACAATCAAAATCAGCTCCCCTTCGACCTGTTCGGCCCTTTTTTGAGCGCAAATCCAAAAAGCCCAAACCCACGCCAAACTCCAACCCCTTTTGCTCTTGGGTAGGGATTGTAGAACCATGGGATACGAAGAAAGGCGGAGCCCCCCCATACCCGCAATGTTAAACTGGTACAATGTAATCAAATGGGAGCTGGTACCTAAGCCCCGCCCTTATTCGTATCCCAGAGCTCTACTATCCCTACTCTTGGGTGTTGGGATTTTTTTTACCACACACCCACAACTTTTGTTTTTGTTACTCCTCGGCTCACGTAGATGTCACTGATAGCGAAGTGTAGAGGGAGGTAAAGGGTTTTGGTTTAGCATAGAAGCGCGCGACAATTACATACATACATCGTGACAATTTTTTTATTTGAGTTTCCTTTTTGATTACAAAAATTTTCCACGATTTATTTTTGCTTCGTTTACGCTTATAACTGATACATGAACAAAAAATCAGAAAAATTTATAAAAATCAAACTTTTGATGATCCATGTAAAATAAAATATAATGCATTCATGTTATTCGCATTTTTATAAATTTTTTCTATCCGCTCTCTCTATCTCAAGATATATCGTAAAATGGTGTATTTTTTTTTATAAATAAGTATTTCATTTGTAATTTTTAATGTTTTTATTGTTTATTGTAATATCTATTTTATAATTTACACATAATAAATAATTATTTGTATAAATTTATAGATTTATACAGGGTCAAGTATTGCATGCAAATGCACTCATCTCTGAAGACACCAACGACGAATCTGACTCCAACCTGGAATACTTAAGTTGTTTCAATAAAAAATAGTCTTAAATAATTAAGAGTATACACATTTTTTTTTTATCATTAATGTCATTATCACCATCTAATTTTTTCATAAGTGAAAATCTTGCTTCTAAATCCAGTAAATCCCACCTTTCAACTGCTGTTTTTCCCCTAATTTAAAAATAAAATTTATTAAGATTAAAAATTATACAAAAATATAGGGCTCTCTTGAGAGTTTTTAATCGACGATCACTTTTCTCGCGGCGCGTAAATCTCATGGATCATGGTATTGGGCAGCCCTGTATTCAACAAGCACTTTTGGAAGCGCCTGAAAAGTTCATTTCATTTTTTATAAATATACTGAGAAATAGAATTTAATGTGAAAAAACGAACCTGGTCGCCGTTGAGGACAACATACTCGGCATATTTCAGTCCGGCAGCCTGAGCGGGCTCGGCAACAATGCTGTGGTGGCCGAGAGGAACCTCGGTCAGAGGCTGGTGCGTGGCGTGGTACCTTCGTCCCATAAGACACGAGCAGACCAGCAGATACCTCGGACAGGTGGTGCAGTTGCGGTCATCGTGCGGAGGACAGCCTGTGTTAGCGCCCCACGAATATTGGTTTGCTTTCGAGCCCAGAGGTCCGTAAATTAAACTCCTGTTTCCAATTAAAAACGAAATTGTGATTTTTTAAAGGTATATTACTTTACCTTGGCCAAACATATTCTTCTCTTTCGAATACTCCTCATTGAAACCGGACAAAGATATTTCAAGTGCGAATGGTGAACCATGCAACAGTTCGACCTCCTCGCACTTTTCGCCCGTCTCCATTTGGATGCGCTCTCTTGCCCTATTATACCTTTTGAAGAGAAGCGGATTTTCGATTCGAATCATCTGCAATTATATAAATTAAAAAATTGAAATAAAAAAGAAATAAAAAAATAGCAAATTGATAAGCATTCTATTTTTTTTTTATATACTTCTGTTATTTTAACTGATTGTGAGTGAAAGGAAAAAAGAGAAACTGCGGCGGCAAAAGAAAAACGTAATTATTTCATTATTTAAATTGTTTAGAATTGTGGTGTGCTGGATGATCAAAAATCAATTGAGTTTGTAAGTTTTGGATTTTGTCGTTGGATGGCAGCCTTGAATTTAGTATAATTTTTCAATGCCATGAGTTATATTCAATACAATTTGGCGTTATTTGCTGACTTTTTGCTAATTTATAATGTTAAATTTTTTGTTTTTCTCTTCCGAATTGGATAATAATTATAATAATTGAAAAAAAACTTAATTCTGTAATATGATAATTTATCATCAATAAAAAAACATAGTCATCAAATTCATTTTATGCTTTTGTTGGTGAAATTAAAAGTTGAACTTACCTTAATTTTGTCAAAAGCCGAGAGTCGCACAAATTTGTGCTTCATGATGGTGAGATTTAAAAGTCGAGAAATCCGAATGTATTCGGCATCATTTTCACTCAATTTGGTAAAATGCATTTTTTTTTAAACTTGTGTGGCGCACGCTTTGCTATCCCTCACTTGCTAGCATCAGAAAAGTCTTTGAGTGAACAACAGGCAAACTCGATGCTGAATGAAACAAGATCGTCCCAACATAAGCTTTCGTTTGCGCCTCAAATCATGTTCTTTACCAGTTTCAAACTTTTCCAACCATAACGCCTGCACTCTGCGTAATTTGTTCTAATTTGGACCCCTACTGTATTGATTATACTTTTACTTTTCAAGACTGAAATTTTATTTAATTTTCACTTTGAAATATAGGAAAGAGCTAATTACTTCAATTCCTCGGGAATTCCCCAATTACTCTTTTTAAGTACGGCTAAGAAGTCGAGAATTTCATGCTGGAAATACATGAATGGGAATAACACATCAAAATAATGACAATTAAATAGTATCGGAACGTCCTCAAAGGAAAATAAAGTTTTTTTTAATTTGTTTAATAATTGTTTTTTATATTTTATTATATTTCTTTTTAACGACGGTCTTAATATTGAATAATCAATTTTAGGCAAATTATTTTAACATCAAAGTTGATTTGTACTGAACATAATAATATTAGGACATTCTTTCACAAGTATTTTAATTAACGAACGCACAAAAAAAATTATTTTTCAAGAATGTGCAATTGTGCAACACAGTGGTGTTAGTATCTATGATAAAAGTCTTTGAGAGCTGTCAATTGTCAATTTATATGAGTAATAAAATTGATGAAATCTCATTTCAGGGCTGGACGTCCTGCTTCTTAAGGCACAATGGTGTACTCAATCAGATACAACGGCAGGGCCTACAAAAATAAGTCAACTTTTTGATTTTTTTTTTCAAATACAAAATAAATTTTGATTTTAACCTGGTCTCCGTTCAAGACAGCATATTCAGGGTATCTCAGGGTTGGGACGACGCCAGGCTCGGCAACGACGCTGTGATAGCCTTTGGGGATCGTGAGCACTGGCTCCTTAGGTCTGTAGATGTTGCCCATGAAGCAGCGACAGACGAGCAGGTGACGGACGCACTTGGTGCAAGAACGCTTTCTGTGAGCTGGACAACCGTTGTTGTTGCCCCAGGCATACTGATTGCTCTTGGACGAGTAGCTCGCAAAGTAAATTCCTGAAATATACAAATAAAAAATTAATTACATAATTATCAACAAAAAACAATCAATTTTTTATGAATATTTTTAAGCAACATAATTGAGAATTAAGCAAAAAATAAAAAAATATTAAAAATATTAAAATAAGCTGATTCAAAGGAATAAAGTCATTTCTTTAATTGGTGCCCGCTTTAAAAGTTGGACATATCAATATAAAAAAAACATGAGCAAAGTAGCAGCTTGTCAGATACAAATCTTGTGCTGAAGCTAATAAGAGTACCTCATGCAATTGCAATACACGGGCCAAATATCAAGAACAGATAAGAAATATTTCACTCCTGGAAATTCAGAGATTGGTATCTTTAAGAACTTTGTTTTAATTTAATTCTCAAATATTATTCATTTTAAAGTTAAAGAAAAATCGGTTCTTATACAGGTTTTTGCGAAATGTTATACATTGTACCGAAAGAAAGTCTGTTTACGAAATACGTGCCCTTTCCGAACATGTTGCTCGCAGCAGATAACTGAACACTAAAGCCTTCGTTGACAATCTGCAAAGCGTTTGGGCTTCCATGGTACAGATCCATCTCTTCAGCCTCCTCGCTGTTCATCTCTATGAGAATCAATTCCTTCAGGTCTGCGTGCCTCTTTTGCAAATCTTCGTTTATAACCAGACTGATCTGTGAAAACAAAAGGCAATATAAATTTTTTGTTTCAGAATAATTATTATAATTTTATGCTGATTTTTGAAATTTTTCCAAGAATAAAACAATCATTTAATTTATGTAAAAAAAGAATATTTTCTATAAAATTATTAGCACAATAATCAAAAATCCATGTTGACACGATGTAAAATTATTGTCAAAATGATTAATTTCCCCCAATTTTCGTTTAGAATCATCATTAAGTTTCCATAAATTAATAATTATTTTCAAAGTGCGGATTTCAATATTGTTTTCTGTGAAAAAATGACCTTGTTGATTGTGTAGTCACTGAGAGGAATGCCATTTTTGTGGGGTTTGATGGTGGCCCTTAATTTTCCGGCGACGTCCGCGTACATCTGGTCGTCCTCCTCCAGCTGCATCAACTCGGCCATCGCTGCTTTCCTGCTTTTCCTCCGACCTTTGCATTCAGTAAGCGTGTTTTTCCTCGCGACTTTCTTTCTGGCTTTCGGTGTTTTACCAGAAATGCACAAGAGACTTGACAGCGGGGCGCACACGAGTGACATGCTATGCTGAATTATTTTCTGTTCTCGTTTTTCGTTCTGCGCTCGTCTGCTGCCGGCGAGACGAGAATGCAAAAGTTTGAGTCAAGTTTCGGTTTTCACGCGCATGCCTTTTGCCTTTTCCTTCCTTTTTCGCTGATAAAATGCAAACAATTTCTAGCGCATAATGCGCGAAGTTTACAATTTTCGCATAGCTCTGATCTATCTGAATGACAATTAAGGTCATTACTTTTATCATCTAAAAACGTCTAAAAATTTAATATTTTTAGTTAATCATCAATTTGAAAACTTTTTAACTTCATCAAAGTATAAAATTAACATACAAATTAATAAAATTTTTAATGAAATTTAATTTTTTTGCCAGATTAAATGAGACAAAGTTGAATTCATTTATGCCATAAATAGATCTTTATTGTGTAAATAAGTATTTATTATCAGCAATTTCTGGGGAGGTACCTACAAATTACGAACTGCACAAAATAGTTTTTAATCGGAAATAATAGCAATTCGACAGAGTGCACAGAAGTCAAGTTTAAAAAAAAAATTACCAAGACAAAAACTAACCTATGTACAGATTTATGCAAGTATAGTTTTCTTTTCGGCTCATTGCATTGCAATCATAATATAGTAAAAGTGCACAAATGATGACCAACGACATCATTACAATAAAACTGCACGGGCACATTATACATTTGACAAATAATAATAATAATTTCATTTGAAGGAAGTATGTGGTGCATTTCGATTGAAGATTACGTCGGTGAAAGATTCTTGGTTACATCCTATCTTCTTCCCAGTTATTATTTGTACAAAATTTACAGCGTTCCAGCAATCGACGAAATTTCCTCCGATTGCTCGTTACATTATTAAAAACTAGAATCACAAATATCATGTAATCATTAGTCAATAAGTATAATTATAACATCATGGGGGTAAATAGGCAATAAAATAGATCAATACATCCAAGTTGTGTATGTGTACATTGTTAATCGTAGACATGATTTTGGTGATTTGGGTCACCGTCGATGAGCAGTGAAGAGATATGGTTGAGTGTGATTGTGCAGGGTAAAAACTCTGAAAATAATGCTCGCAGGCAATGGATGATATGGGCAGTTACGATTAATTGTCTTTAAACAGATCCATCCGAAAAATACATTTCTTTCCCGATATGAAGCGATTTGGACATAGATTTGTTTACATACTTGGCAGTTGTCCACATTTCACCGAAACTCCGCTCGTGCTTGTAATCCCGATCGGTAGTGCAGTCTTAGCGAATGTTTACCTATTCAAGCCTATCTATGTGCTCGAGTTTTGACCGTCCTGACTTAATCAATAAGGCAATTCTTAATCTCAGTCCATGGGCGAGTCGCAGCGAGCCCCTAGTTATTTACTCTACAGCAAATCCGCACGTTTCTTCAACAGCCTGGGTCAACTTTTCGTACATCTTCTGGTAAGAAGGGTAGGCTGGGATGTCGATGCGGTTGAAGCATGTGTGGGCCTTGGGCAGGTTTTCCGTTGGTGCGTCAATCACATGAATTGTGAACAGCCTGGGCCCTGCAGCACCTGTCGAACCTGAAAGCAACCATCATACATGTTTTTACAATAAAATGTAAAATAATTTGAAAAATTAATTGGAAAATGAGTTTAAATAATTTCGCCTATAACTTTTTGATTAAATATAATAAAAATAAAATTCTATGCAAAAAAATATTAGAAAAAGTAGATTAAAACAAAGAAAATAAATGAATAGTAAAAACAATAATGTACCTTGCAGTGCTTTGAAACCCTGAAGGGGCACCCTGGAGCTGCCAGTGACAAACTGCAACAACCTTGCTCGCATCTCGGCACTGTAAATCTCGACAATCTGCCAGAACCACTTGACCACTGGGGTTTCCAGGGTGCAGTGCTTGAGCCTTGTGTTCTGCTTCCAGTCCTCAATGTCGATGCTGCCGAGACCACCGATCACAAGTTCCAGCTCGTGCTCCTCGAAGGGCCGCAGCATGTGCGTTGGCACCAATTCTGAAAAGCCTTTCTGAAGGGCCAAAAACTGCTGCTCGATACCTCGCATGAAGCGGTAGTTGACATAGAGCCTTTAGAGATTACAAATATTAGAATCGCGGATGAATTAATAATGTTTGGATTTTGTACCTGACATATTCTTTTTTGTTCTCCTCCGTGACAGGAATGTCCTTGCCACCAGGCTTCAACTCGTGCTCCTTCAACTCGCCAAAGCTGTTGTGCTCAACGGAAAACGTCGTGTCTATGACACCAGTTATATTATTGTCCCTGAAAGTAATAAATAAATTTTAAGTATTTAAATAACATAAAACCCATCAACATTTTTAGAGCAATTGTTTAATTTTTAAAATACTCACAGCATCCACACAAGACTTCTTTGAAGTTCCGGATCAACATCCTCGATATCGTCCAAGGTAATTGGTTTGTTGAGTAACATGCGGTAGGAAGGCATAGTAAAACTGCCGTCAATGTAATGCCCGTGGAAAACAGCAATGCCAATGACGCGTCCGACGAAATGGAAATAAGAGAGGTGCTCCTGAAAGAAGAGAAATATTTTAAGCAAATCAATTTTATTAGTATAAATTTCAATAATTACGGGATTGATATTGCTGTCAGGATTGATCTGAAGAGTGTAATTGTCATCGCCTGAGTATTGAAACAGTCCATACTGAGGGTTCAGCATTTCATGAGAGAGGAGGTAGAGCCACTCGCGGGCAACACCTCCATAGTCCAAGCCTTCCTCATTGCGGAACTTAACCATAAGTCTTTTTCGCATATCCTTAGGACGCATTTTCATCACAAGTCGATAGGATTCCTGGAGTAATTGAAAATCAACAACGTCCTTTTTACGGAAAGGAATTCCGAACGTTACCTCAAAAATATCCTTCCGCGTGACTTCCAGTCTGCAGTGTCCAGTCTGAGGCTGTAAGGCATGCAGTTCTGTCCTAAGGCACTTGAGTTTGGCTACCAAATCTCTTCGGTACTTGGGCAGACTTTCGCTGCTGTCCATCAACAGGTCCTTGGGGTCATTGTTGTTGCCACTGGGTCCGGGGGCAGCAGGTGTGACAATGGATCGTTCTGTGGGGGCAGGTGGATCGGGTCTTGGGGGCGTGATGTGGGTAGATTGACTCATTGGAGGAGGCAGGGGTGGCGGGATGGAAGAGGGCGCCGAGTTCAAAGGAGGTGGGCCACTGGGCGAGTTGCTGGGCAAGCCATTAGTCCTGAAATTTAGGAAAAATAGTTTTTAATGATGCAGTTAAAAAACCAATAGTATAGAAGGATAAAAAATTGTAATATTAGATTTTTAAATATTGACCATTTTGAAAAGATGGATTAAAATTTAAGTAGAATATTAAATACTATTTCTATATCATTTTATTAAAAAAATTTGAAGTTTATTTTATTCTCCTATTTTATATTAACAAGAAATTACAGATTTTGGAGTTGGCTAATAATAAAAATTTTGAAATTAAAAATGTCGAAATATCTTACGTGATAATGCCCTGAATGACTGAGGCATTCAGTCTGGGGTCGGTGAACTGCGTGGTGCGGTTGTTGTGGTCCACAAAATAGACCCTTCCCGAGGAGGTCTGCCGCATTTCCCAACCAGACGGCAGAGGTCCCAAGTCAGGCAGATTCGAGCCGACAAGCTCGCGGGGTATTCTAGGGTCGTGCCATGTGCTGACTCCAGTCGGGATGTGGAAGAAGTAGACCTGACCTTGCTGGGTGGTTCGCATTTCTGGAAAAAGCAGATGCGACGGCTTCATCATTGCTGAACTTGCTCTCAAGTGCAGGACCCGATCGAAAGTGAAGGGGTTAATTTTAGCGCAGGTGCTCTAATTGCCGGCCATGCCAAAAGCGTTGCCAAAGAACGATTTGTCGTTTCAGAAACTTGATTTTGTTGCACTTACCGTAACCTTCAGGCAGGTCCGGTGGCTGCACCAATTGCGCCCGAGGCTGGTTTCGATGCCGACCACCCCTTCTCCTTGATGAAGTTGACGTTTGGCCGTTCTCTCGCCTGCTCCTACTCTCACCCTCTTCCCTTGAACTCCCACTTCTCCTTTCCCTGAAGAAAAATTACAAAAACAAATTTATTTAAGTGTTGAAGATCAAAATTAAAAAAAGAGAAACTTTTTAATTGGCAGTTTTGTTAAACAAATTATTGATTGATTCATTTAAAATCTATTTTTTTTTCATTTGGTTGTTAAGGAACAATTTTGTTTTGAACTGTTCAAAGATTTTGTGAATACTTAATTTTTGAACCCTTTTGTTAGAAAATTTTTGCCCCACAGACATAAGTATTTTTCACTGACAGCTGAGAAGTTCTGCACTTGTGGCTACAAATGAGACAAAAATCACAGCCACAAGATCAAAGGACAACCAAGATTGTCTGGTTACATCTTTCTTCAGGAGAAAGAAACCGAAGCCTCACCTTGTGCTACCGGATCTGCTGTCTCTGTGCGGAGTGCTGGTGGAGTCGCTACTGTTGAGATTGCCGTTTGTGTTTGTAATATTGCCGTTGATGGGAATGATGTTGTTCTGCGGCCGCAGCGGCCGACTCCACTGGGTGGTGCGGGTGTTGTGGTTGACGTAGTAGAGGCGGCCGTTCTGCGTCCGGCGCTCCTCCCAGCCGTCCGGAAGAGCGTCCGGACAGCTGATGTCGCCGAGCTGGTCGACCACCGCGTTGTGTCCAACGCCCTGCGGCGTGCTGTTCAGGTCTCGGGAAAGAAGCGAAATGACGATCTGGCCCTTGACCGGCTCCGGATCGTCTTGGTTGGCCTTGCTCAGATCCAGTCGCTGGTAGCCGGTGTCTTTGAGGCGTTGGATTGTGTTCGACATGATGCGCACACAGCCCAGGAAACCGCTGCCCTGCTTTTTGTGGATCTTCCGGTTGTTCCAGATGCTGATTGTAATGCCGTCCATTTTGCCCAGGTACCTAAAAATAATTGGTTTACATAAATAATTATGTATAAAAAATTATAAAAGTCTGTCTGAAATATTTGGCAAAACTCGAAATTTTGGGCACCAAAGTTAAAAGTTTTAAAAAGTCACAAAAAATGAGGTGGAATTATAAATAAAGTGTTGAAGGTTTAAATAATTTTGAAGGGAAATCATTTTTTTTTTTTTTTTTTTTTTTAATATTTTTTGGTTTAATTTATTTCCTTTTCTTATATAGAAAGTGTGTGGGTGCCAAAAAGCGTTGAGGTTAAAAGAGGCATATTTACAGATCGTAGTGTTGATTCCACTTGGGGTCCAGCGTGGCTTTGCACGCCTCTGTGCTGTGACACTGACCAGAGCCGTCGACACTAATTTTTGCAAACGGGTCGGGCAACCCTGGAACAGAGGAAGAAGCGACCATGAATGAGATCCGTTTTCCGCGCACCCAGAGGCGATTTCTTCGAACAAAGGCGCTTCTTTCATTTCTCCAATAAGTGAGCGAACGCCACAAAATGCGCGGCCGTAAAACTCTTAGGAAATCGCCGCCGCGAGAGAGCATGAGTGAACGACCACATCAACTTTCATGTGCTGAACACGGAGAGTTTGAGGGAAATAAATACAAAGTAAAAGGTGATGAAAATTCCTTGGGATTCACCACGCTTACGAATTCAGCGTGAGTCACCAATGCCGCGGTGTCAAAAATATTATTATTATCATCGCCAGGGAATAATTTTCATTCATATAAAAAGAATGGAAATTTGAAGTTTAATACAACAGAAATTCGTAAATTATACAAAATTAGAAGGCTTCAAATTGAAGCTACATTTAAATGAATTTTAGTATAGTGAAAATTAGACTAATCATCAAGGTAACAAGATTTTAATTTTGATAAGATTTATACAAAAATAATTTTTTTCCTAAATATAACTTTATATCAATAAACATTTTGTAGTCATCATTAATTTAAATAAACGGAAATATTTATAATTTAAAATAAAATAAAGGAAGAGTTAAACTTCATTACTTTTTGAATAGACAAATTTCCAGTTCCCAGTTCCCGGTCTAGTATTTAAGATTTTTTTTATCAAATAAAACTTAATTTTAAACTTTAACAAAAGTGTTCATCAATATCCAATCAGGTTTAAATTCATGCTTGGGACTGATTTTAGTCATGATGGACACTATTAAAGAATGAAAAAAAATTGTGATTTTTTTTGTTGGTTAAAATTAAAAACAATTTTTTTTTTAATAATGAGAGATGAGATAAGAAGAGGAAACGTTATACTTACTGAAGAGATCCTTCCTCGCCAGACTTCTCGCGCACAAAACTGCAACAAAAATTCAGACCCACATGTAAATTACCATATATAACGATAACGGGGTAAATTGGGACGGGGGAGGGAGGGGGACCACCCGCCGACGGACGCATCAAAATTCACTCCGGGGCGACATGCGGGTCGCGCAAGGGGCGAACGAACTTCTTCTCTTATCTCCCAAACCAGAAGCAAGTGCACCGAAAAGCTTTTTTCCGCTATCCTCGGGAAAGAGAAGCGACAAAACTGGAGGCGGGCGGAGGAAGTGGCTATTTAATTCGGCGCATTCCTGGTGCATTATGATTCTATAATTAGCCGCGACGGCGGCACCGGAATAGGATAGGGCGTCGATCGGCCGCGGAGGAGCCGCGCGCCGTCGGGATTATCTCGCAGGCTTTGTTGATGTTTCTCTTGGAAGGATGAGAGGGGATTTTATAAGTGAGTGCGAGAGAAAAAAAAGAAAGAGCTTTGTGAGGTCCAAGAGAAAAGAGTTTAAAAGCGCTTGGGTGCATCGACACCGCCAAGTCTTTTAACTTTACTGCTGTGGCCGAGCATCGCATTCAACTTGTTTACTTTTAAATTTAGTACCTTGAGCTTTTAAGTGAAAAAATTTATTAAAGGTATTCTTTACTTCTACATTTCTCTGTAAATAAATATCAACAAAATTTAAGACCAAAATTGAGAAATAAAACTTTTGCACAAATTTTATTCCATTGAAAAACCGAAAGTGAGATTAAATTTACCAACAAAAAGGGAAAATTAATAATTATTTTAAAGTAATATTGAAACGATCTCTGGATTGTATTTAAATAAATCTTTTTAATTACTTTAAAAACATTGTTAATTTTGCCAAGAGTTAAAATAATTCTCAAGGTGAGGATAAATTTATTCCTCGGGCGTAGTTTAGGGACCGAAGTTTGTAAGTACACGCGGCAATTGAGCGGGCTACTTGAATATTAATAAGAAAGTGCACCAAGTTTGTTATCAGCTAATTGTTGAGTAACATCCGCCCGAAACTTTTAAGGAAGCTGCCAGTCAAAAAAAGTAGCCGACCGTGTTAATTCTAAATACGCCCTAGCACAGCCCATTTAAGTTGGAGCACGTCAGGCTTCTAATCCTGACTTAAAATTAATCGAATTTACGCTTTGTAGTTCGTCAAACACACGAATTTTTTATTCTTATGGCACTTAAATTACATTTTTTTCCTTGATTAAAAAATATTGCATGTTCCTGCAGATGTTTTTAAAAGAGAATCATGAAAAGCAAATTCAAAAAAACTAATTAAAAAATTTCAAAATTAACTTATTGTTAGTGAAAAAGGAAGATTTAATTTAATTCTAATTATTTTTGTTTGGCTTTCGTTTCAGTTATTTCATTTTTTATTATTAAGCAAAAGTCAGTCATCTCAAGACCATAAAAATACACAAAAGAATTTTGATATAATTTCAAAGTTACAAACAGAAACACAAAAAAATAAAAATCTGCAAAATCTACTTTGATGAGAAGAGTCGCAAATCACGATTAAATAAAAATTCCCTTGGCCGCAGAACGAATTTATAGATGACAAGCAGCGATATCGAGTCGGCAACAAAGATCAATCCGGGGCAGAATGGGTGCTCGGCCAGCCGAGACAGTCCAACTCGGATGACCCAATTAAAATTCTGTTCCCACAACGCGCGCGTTTGTGCGCACAAATCGTGCGGTCGGGAAAACAAATTAAGGCGAAGAAAGGAAGAAAGAAAAATTCCTCATCCCGACCACCCACAAATCACTGCCTGATCAAAAGGGCTCGCGGCCACCGCCTCGCGGGTCCATCGGCGCGAGGTCATCGCTGTGAGTGAATCGATGCAGCGCCAAGTTGCAGCCGCACCGCTCTCGGTGCTGCACAAGACGGATGAGATCAGTGACGTCTCGGCAGCAGCTTAATTGTCAGATTTAAAAATAATGTATTCCGGTGAAAATGGTGCGCTCTCACGGATTTTTTGGGAGCTATCTCGCGAGAGTGCTCAACACAAGGATGGCTGATTTCGTAATGACAGTTCAGTGACTTCAAAAAGTGAATTTCTCTCATTTAAACGGATTAAAAAAAATTGAATAAATGAAACCCAAATAATGAAATTTTCTACTTAATTCTTAATAATAATTTTAAATTGATTGTTGTCTAGGTCTATTTGTCGACAAATAAACAGTAACAAAAAAATTATTGAATTTTAAATTAATTTACAAGATACAGGTAGAAAATTTCAGATTTTCTTGTTTTATTCATTTTAAATTTTTTAATTTTCATTTTTAAAAGAAAAACCGAATGCAACCCGAATCTACCAAAACATTTAAGATGTAGATGGTTTATTGATAACGCAAGATTTAAAGTAACCAATTTAACAGACTGATTAAAATCTGGACGAAATTATATATGAGTGAATTTTTAACATAAATTTTGATCTCATATTAAATAAAATTTTCTCCTTAACTCATTTCTTTATAGAAACCAAGTCACGCAGGATTGGTTTGACAATCTAGACTACAATAATTATCAGACCAAGTGATGAAAGCGTTCTTTCTTACAATAGACAGCGACGGCCGCAGCAACTTGCGAAAAATGCAAATGCAGGCGAAATTGTCAGTTTCACGCATTCGCAGGAATTCGGTGCAACCGCATGAGATAATTACGCGTGAAATAATAATGACGACGAGCGCCTTTCTCGGCTCAACATAAATTACACACCGTGCGGAAGAGAAAGGGTTCTTCTCTCATAACGTGCTATGAACACAATGGAATTCTTTGGCAGAAAAGCGCGAAGAAGAGCTCTCATGTTACATATTTGGGAGAGAAACACATAAAAAAATAATAACAGGTCGGATGGCGTGCCTTATCATTGGCGGCTAATTGCTCTCCAGCAACTGCCAGTACTGTTAGTTGTTCACTTCCTTGGCTAATTTCATTGCGCTCCGAAATTGCCGTGACCGCGTCGGGCACCGCGTGATTTTGAAAATGGCTTTGCGGTCGCCAACATAAACATAAACAAAAGATTGGTTCAAGAGCAGGAAGAGTTTCGACACAATAAAAATAGAAATTGAAATGAATTTGGTACAGCGAAACACAAAATTTAAAATAAGCAATTTTTTACAACAGGTTTATTTGTCATAAATTTAAAATAATTATAAGAATGCATAAAAATTAATTAGAATGAAAATAAATAGATAATTTAGATAAAAAAATTGGTTTTTATAGATTTTTATTGAAGATTTATTCGTTTATCAATTTTAAAAGTAGAAAAATTAGGAAAATGACTTGAAAATATCATTGCCGAAGCAGAAGTTTGGTTATTAACGACAAAAAGTGGCCGAAGTGGAAGCTTCGTTGGACAATCCGCATTCGATTCGCCACACCGACGTGGGAAATTTGCTCTTGGTGTCGGCGCAATCAAAGCGTGAATTTTGACGAAAAATGAAAAGTGTTATCCTTGAGAGCTGTTATCGTTGGTAAAAAAAACGTCGCCGTGAATTGCAATATCAGTGGCGGAATGGGCAGTTGAATGGGCGCGGAATTATTCACAAAGCAAACATGCCATTCGCACTTTCACTGCCGAGTCTATATTTGCCCTCGAAATATTTACGCACGCTTTTGGCACCGCCAACGAACCACTTTGCTTCTCTCGCCAGACGTTCAAATAGCGCGAGATGCGTTTCAAAATAATAATAAACTTGACATAACGTTGTGTCTGCCCAAGTTGTGAAACAAACACTTCAAAAAGAGGTAAGAAAAATAAAAGAATTTAAATAATTATTGATATTTCAAAGAAAGATAAAAGCTTAGCAATGAACTGAAAGAATTTGAAATAAAAATATTTCAAAATATAATGAAAATTCCTGTGTTCTTCATTGAATTTAAATTTTAAATTACTTTTTGCTAATGATGGCTCTCAATTTAGGAAAGAACTCTTTTTAAATATTATGCTTTCAATTATTGTTTTGTATTTACAAATTTTTTTTTTCACTTCAAGGTCTGCATTGCCAAAGGACGTAAAACTGCATCACTTAACCTGCGCGTTCAGCGGCGCGCCGCTTTTTAATTGCTGCTGCTGCATCCTCTGTTAATGCTGCGCTTTTTCCTCGCCTCGGCCGAGCGAATCTCGATAATTTGAATTTCTGTTTCATACGCGGCCGCGTTTTGCTTCTTCTTTGGAAGCTTGGAAGTGCGTAGCAGAAAAAGAGCAGCGAGATGCCGGCTTATAAAATATAATTGACTCGCGCGAGCCAGGTGGTGATACCATCGCGCCGAGGGAGCCACACGTGAGGCCGACACGGACCACTGCCCCCAGCGGTTGAGAAATATCCGGAATAACAATTTGTAGCAAACGTAAAAATGTGTCTCCATCTGCTTCGGTACTAATAAAAGGTGGAACCCTACTAAATTTTAAAGTCATTAAAAGCAGAAAATTATTAATGCGAAAATAATCGACCAAAATTTCAGCCTCTTTGTTCAAATTAAAATGTTTGTTACAAAAACATTTTTACCAAAAATTCCAAATTCATAAATTGATTTATAACTTGTGCTGGTAAAATTCATTCAATTTGTCCTTGATTGGAAAAAAAATTAAACAAATATTTTAACTTAAATTGTCACAATTTTCTCGTAGCCAAAATGATATCAAATTTTTAAAGCAATTCAAGACGAATCCTGTAAAAAATCTTCTCCAAAGTAGATTTTGTGGTCATTTTTTTTTAACCATCAAGAGCAGCGGTTTTAATTTTTTACGGCAGGTCGAGTTCATCCTTTGCAGCAGCCGAAGCCTCTCGAGTGCTGCGGCTCAGAATCTATGCAAATCCGCAAATAAGCCGGCCCGCTTACCAGACGCATTCAATTTCGTAAAGTAAATCGCAAGCGTTCGGTGCGGCTTCCGACCGTGTTCATTTGCGCGACGAGAAGTGCGAGGGCACGAGTTTCCGGCGCGTGTTCCTCGCAAGTTAATTTGCAAAAAAAAAAAAAATGCTTGGTAAGGAGGTGGACGGGG